CTCCGGGAAAAGGACATCATTGCAAGGCTCACCGCCGACTACCCACCCGCACGTGTGAGGTTGTTGAGCGCGAGGTCCAGAAAGATAATTGAGCATCGTATACTCGTCCTGCGGGAAATCGGAAAATCAGTGCGACGTTTCCTAGAACTGAAGGGAATTCACCTCAGGAGACCAGTTCTCGTTAAACCCGGAACCGCTCTGGCAGTGAGACATGATTTGGATTGCAGGAGTTGAGATGGCTGTAAGTGCTGCTGACTTGAATCATATATACTCTTCAGTGACGCCAAATGGACGGCTGGTCGTAATGAGACGATGTGGAGTCCGTCTTAGCATCGGGAATGCTTTCCGATGGCAGGAGTTTCCATTGTACCCTACCATTGGCAAAACCGATCATTCGGACCATTTATAAAGGAGTACGCACAGGTTCTTTCTGTACTCAGGAATTCGGGATGTTCATCAAAAAAGCATAAACCAGAGGCCGACCCCGGAAATCGGGAGTCCGACAATCACGCTGCGCCACGAAGTGCTGGGATGTACACAAATGAGGGCAAATTACCCTAAGTTGGCGATGAAACGTCCTACCATCTCCACTTACCGTCCAGTACCGGGCCGCAGACAACCAAACTACGTTGGGGCAGAACCGGGTAACAGCCCATCGGAAGAGGTGGTATGGCAGTAGGGCTTCCGCAGGCACATGGGTCGGGTTGCCGAGTGACGCCATGGAGGTTTAACGCGTTACATTTACCCTAAAGTTCGACATGCGCGTTGGGAACAATAAAATATAGGCCTGTAAGCCACGAAGCGCTGATAATCACGAACAAACCGGTATGGAAGGCACAGGAACCACCGAGAGGGTATCTATGTGCACGCACCTGCGATCCAAAAGCACAGCAAGCTTTGCAGACTGCAAATGTGACGCAAGCGCGTTGGTCGGGCAGGCGCTTTTGGAGGTCGGCGTATCAAGACATATCCTGGAGTGCACAAGCAGATCGGGCCAAGGACGAAATACTACCACCAGCATGTCAATGTCACCGACCATCAGTCTGATCTGAACTCGTAAGTGTCCACCATCTCCCGCTGAACTGCCAGTGAACACTACGTAACTCACGTGACCTACCGCGACCGACCCTTGGTAATCGATTTACATAACAGATTTTTTTATCTGATACACCCCTCGGGATAGTCAAGAGCAAGCACCGCCACCAAAACCGCTTTCGTCATGGTTCTCGTTGCAAAATTTCTGTCCAGTGGAGCATCTATTCGCAGCGGAGGTACTCTTCGGTAATTCCTGTAGCCAATCAAGACCCCGTAAGACAGCACGCACCGGTACTGGAAGAGAGAGATATATACTGATCGAGCTGGAAATCCTCAGACTTTGGCGAATGCTAATAAGTATCACACGGAACCCTGAAAATGAAACCTTGCAAGAAAGCAATTAGTTTCTTGTCCTCAAATTCGGCAACCCGTATTCAGCCTCATCGTTATCATCTTCTGGGAGCCCGCTGGCCTTACTTTGCAATGCTCCTTACTAGCCCATTGTCCTTTCCTTCGACCTATGTCCGCTCATGCCTTATTTCTCGGGTGGTCGCCTCTTTCTTACAACTCAAACAGCATAGTGATACCTTCCCTGCCTGTACAGCATTCCTTATATCTTCTGCGTCGGTCCCGACTCTTTTGTGCAGTCCGAGCCAGGGTCTGCATGACAACTTTCGCAGACAACCTGCATCCGAATCTTGCTGCCTACTTTCACCCGAGGAAATAGACTATCAACCATTGCTGTGATGAAATTGCCTTGGAGAAAACGTTTTCTCCGGAAAGGATGTGCTACTGCTTGATAGCAAGTGCAAGGGGAAGGCTGGGAAAATGGAGATCTGGGATAACTTAAATGGGTGGTTACCTCGAGTAAGGTTTAGTTCCACATATCGATCGGGTTTCTTGTCCACAATAGTTTCGTGGCGGTGTTAGGTTGGTATGTCAGACTCTCCATCATGGTGACTGCGCCGCTTCTGCGGTTTTATAAGCAAATGTAACAAGTGGGGGATATGATGGAACTAAGGTTCGGTGTCATTTTGCCATTGTTGACGCTTCCGGTCCATCCCACTCTTGCCCAACGTGAAATCCTACATAGGATTTTTCAGCCATGTTCTGGAGCCTAAGGCACTAATGTAAGTAGGTCCGGTCTTGGAGGCGAGTGGTAGGGCAAAAGAAAATAAGATGCTTTTGTCTTCAGTGGAATGGAAGTCAGAGCGATAGCTTAAAGGTTGGCGTGAAATCCCATGACCTGGAGGATATTGCAGCACAGGGGCCTCCTGCAAAAATATACCAGGAATCGGCTATGATAGTGTTTACAGCACGTCCTAAAAATAAATGCACATGGTTAAGAGTAGAAAGAAGCACTATGTCTGGTCCAATTCCCATACTTGCAGCGGGACACTTGCAGAACAGTGTCAGCATTAGGCACTTTGGTCTTTGCCTCGGACGGCCTCCCTCAGCCTCCCTCGGGTTCTTACGACAGCTTGTAAGGGTGTCAGCCCTGTTCGTCCCCTGAAGCGGCGGGTCGGCGGGTTACGAGACTATGTCAGCATACTGCATAGTAACACAAAGATGTCCGACATCCGCAAGACATTATACCCTGATATAGCCTGCCACAGACAATTTTAGGCTAAAAGTCGGTTCTGGGGTAAATTCAATTCCGTGAACGGCTGCATTGCCTGTTGAGTACATCAGAGCCTAGACCAGGGGAATGCAGGACCGAAGGAAAGACGTGGATGCATGCACCCAGAGATTTTACCGCGACACAAGAAGGGCATCCATTAATCATCCCTGACGTCCCGTGAGGCACAATAGACGAAGATAACCCACGGACGGATTTCAGTCTTTCCTAACAACTCCTTTGGTACGCTTCGATTAGGTCTTGTTGCCATGTACACACAAGTTCGGCGGACACCGTGCACATCCACGGGTCTTCAGGTAGCTTTTCCGACTGCCAGTGATATTCCGGGGTTAGCGAGAGTGAGTCCCCTTGGGTTGGCGGGAATTGCAACGCGGTGCTACTAGTTTTGCGGTGTCAGCGGCGACTGCGTACCTCACCCGGGTCCACATATCAGTGTATGCATGGACATTAAAGCGCGCGAAGGTCTGTACTCACCAATGGTCGGTGGTAGGGCGAGACATGGAAAGGCATGTGAAATGGAATGAGCACCCCCGACTCTCGAATACGTATAGGCTCGCAGTGGCAGTGCTGAAACGAAAGGCATGGCGGGCCCATCCGACTGGCCTGGGAACCCAATGAACTGTTAGAGGGTTTGACGCGTCACTGTAGCACACGGTGGACATGCTTTCCTGTGTTGTTCAATTCATCGGTCACTCGCGGAGGCACTCCATGTGCCGGTCGTCGTACCCCACAGCGTCACACGGAGCCTTGGCTAGGATCAGATCCACCGGCAGACAGCTTGGAAGAGGAGACATAGTATGCTGGATCCACAGGAGATTCGCGTTTTGGAGTCGTATACCACGTGGAATGTGAATTCATGATTCACGCTATTTGGAGCAAGCAAGTATTCTGATCATGCGAGTTGTATTTTATTAACACACCTAAATATCATACAGTAAATCTGTAGAGTTGTAGTAGTATGTACGGTAGAGCAAGAGTGCGGAGGGGACATCACCAAAAGCTGTATAACAGCACATCAATTAGGAGGGCAAACCAGATCGTCCATGTATGTGCGATCCCATCGTCTCCACGGTTGTTGCACAAGATCTCCAGGAATGTATATCTTGAGTTCCTGTTAGAAGTGTTTCCTCTTCCTGTGGTGGTTTAAACTGGTTTTACGAGTAAAACTCAAGCCGCAGTCGGGGCATTCAAATCGTAACTCCAGATGTACCTCAAATACGTGTCGCAGCACGCTTTCTTTCTTCATTTTGGGTGCGTTACAACCCACCCAACAACACAACATGTTCGTTGTGCCATTTCCCCGGACGCCATGCGTTGTCAAGTGTCCCGAGAACTGCTCCGGAAAAAGGACATCGTTGCAAGGCTCTCCACCGACTACCCACCCACAGGTGTGGGGTTGTTGAGTGCGAGGAAGAGAAAGATAGAGAAGCATTGTGAACTCATCCTAAGGAGAGTCAGTGCGAGACCTTCTACGATGGTATGAGTATCACCTGGACAGACCAGTCATCGTTGAACTTGGAATCGATCTGGTGGTGAGACATGAGCTCTGAAGGCGGAAATGTCTGAAGCTGGAGCGCTACTCCGTCCAACCATATATGTTATGCCAGTGAGGCTGTATGGAATTCCGGCAGAAATGGGACAGTCGGGAGCCCGCCATACCTATGCGGGAGTCTTGGTAGTATCCTACCAAACATAAAGTAAACTGGATGGACCCATCCATGGAGGAGCACGCGCAGGCACCGTGGCCAGGAGGCAACTAAGTGCATCAAATTAGAAACAGGGATTCGACGATGACGATTGTGTGGCACAAAAGGTCAGAACATTGGCTAGTGAAGGGGAGTGATGTACATCTATCTTGAAACAACCACTTACCACCCAGTCCTGGGCCGCGGACAACGAAGGTACACTGGGACCAGTAACGGTTCATCCGAAGAGACGGAGCGGTGATAGACTTCGTAAAACATATGTCGCCGGGGTTCTAGTCAATGGCAAGGAGGCTTGACGAGCAAATACGGGGATCGAGGTGCACGCTTGTGGGTTGAAATGCGTGAGATCTCGAGACGGCGAGCCATGCCATTGCAGGTCACTTGGATACCTATGAATTTGGGCTTGTTTCGTTTACCAATCCGCGCTAACAACGTATTGCTACCTCGGTGACTCCAGTAAACAAGCGAACAGAAGACAAGACATAATACATACGACGCAGAGAAAAGTTGACGAACAAGAACAAGGCGGAGCTGCGGCGGCACGTGACAACTTGCGGACTGTCGTCACGTGTCTCCTACAAAAGCTGCTGCCACCCTCCAGCGAAACTGAACGACTAACGATGACATCAACACCCGCAACGCCCACTCGCCGCTCCAAACGCTACCAGCCCCTCATTACAAACCTTCCGCCTACTGCATGGTACGACACCTCCACTTTCTGGACTCACTCCGAACCGTGCTATACGCGTCCAAGTGCACCCGAAGATTATGAGGCGTTGAGAGAGGAAGACGACAGTTGGGAACTGAAGGAGGGCGCATTGACGAGATTCTACGAGTCTTTTACGCGCGTCGTCTCGGGGAAGCCTGGTTCGTCCTCGGTCTCGGGAAGGAGGAAGCCGCGGTCCTCTGTGCGCGGACAATCTGGACGTGGGGCGAACGAGAAGGAAGTGTATAATGTGGGTGATACGGTCTGTGTCCGGACGGGTTTGATGTCGAAAGGGTTGAGTGTTGGCGTTATTGTGGCAATGTGGGATTTACGGGTGGTAGATAGTCGTGGTTATGGCCCTGAGGAAGATCCCGATGATGACGACGATGAGGAACGTAGTGAAGATGAAGGTGGCGGAAAGGGAGACATACACGCGAAAAGGATGTTCGTCAGGATACACTGGTTTCAGAGACCTTCGGAGCTGCCCAGCGTACGGGCTAAGAGGGACCATTATGAGGTGCGTCTTCCCGTGTTAAGCTTGATTGTGCATCCCGTATACATCATCTATCGACGTAGAATGAAGTTTATTACACCCTCAATGCACAAGCCATTCTCCCTCCTTCAAGTGTAGTTTGTCTCAGTACAGTCTCCACCATCCCTCCTCCTCCCAGTTCCAATTCCAAATCCGGAGACTTGTCCCAACCAACTATCCCTCGTACATCACAATCTCGAGGTACGCATTCTCTCGCTACCGCCAACCAAGAAAGCACCACGTTCTACTGCCGCTCCGCGATCGACTCGAGGAAAGGCATCTACTATGAATTCGATTGGGAGGAGAGAAGATCGCTAGCACTTTCCCAGCCTGTCGATGAGCAAGCCAGTGGGAGACCTTGGTTTGTGCCTATTGAAACCACATCTGGACGACGCACGCATCTCGCCCAGACTCAAACGAAACGGCGGCAGCGAAGGCACGCGCCTCAGCAGACGGAGAGCGATGTGAACTCAGAGTACCAAGGGTCTTCTGTAAGTAGGGAGGACGACAAAGACGAAGATCTATTCTCGGCCACCGGGGCCGAATCTGAGGAAGATATTGTAGTGTTAATATCGGACTCAGACATTGACGACGTCCCAAGAACCCCACGAAAACGGAGACGTACCACCGCTGCTTCCCCCTCGAAATCGCCACGTACACCACGAAAAAAGGCTCGTACTGCACGTCTTGCCGCACCGACCCCTCACTCCAAAGCTGCTTTACGCGCACGGGCCCGGACAAGGAAGACACTTACCGTCCGTCTCCCACCCCCTGATTTGACGCGGGAACATGATCGGGAATTGAAAAAGTTCCCCCCAGACCCGTGGTTACGCGCGATGCACGTGTTACATGTAGCAGCGAGACCGGATATATTGCCTTGTAGAGAGGAAGAGTTCCATCGAGTACTGAGAACAGTGGAGGAGTTGTTGGAAGAGGGAAGTGGAGGGTGTGTTTGTAAGTCGCTGTTCCTTCGAATGAAGGATGGCGAGTGGCTAATGCGGCAGTTTGGGGTGATGCGAAGATATTTCTGGCGTACCCGGGACGGGTAAAACGGCCACCGTACATGCCGTCGTGAGGGAACTCAAACGCATGGCAGAGAACAACGTCCGTTTATCTCATCTTCTCCGTTCCTTGTTTCCTCTGACATATATGGTGCTGAATATGGATAGGAGACCAACCCGTTCACGTACGTTGAAATTAACGGACTCAAAATTCCAGAACCATCAGCAGCGTACAATTTACTATGGGAGATTGTGTCTGGACACGATCTCGCTAAGGATGGTCATCTGAGAGCTAGTGCTAGGGAAGCCCTCAAGCGGCTTAACAAGCACTTTACGGCGGGGATTAGAGCGGGACCGGGTGGTCATGCTTGGTACGTCGGTTCCTTTCTTACCGCCAACTGGTTTTTTTTTCTGAGACATTCTCGCCTCGCGATTTAAAGCGTCGTGTTGATGGATGAATTAGACCAGTTGGTGACAACGAAACAAGACGTGGTATACAATTTCTTTAATTGGCCCACCCTCGTCGGTTCCAAACTGGTCGTTATTGCCGTGGCAAATACGATGGATCTCCCTGAGAGAGTGATGAGTGGGCGTGTGCGAAGTCGACTAGGTAAGTTTTGCTGACCTTTTTGACACCTTTCTCTTGCTCGAAGGCCCCTAGTTGAGTATGAGTGACACGTTCGGTCCAGGCATGATTCGAATCAACTTTCAACCGTACACCACCCCACAACTCGTAGAAATCGTCCGTGCGCGATTAGATACTGCCACTAACTCCCTTCCAAACAGCCACACGCATCCGCCCGCACTCTCACCTGATGCCATCAAACTCGCGTGCATGAAAGTTGCCTCAATAAGCGGAGACGCCCGCCGCGTTCTTGACGTCTGTCGACGCGCAGTTGAACTTGCACATGCAGAAGAGCGATCCGGAGAAGCCAGGGATGTACAGAATGCGCTTGCGGCTTTACAGAGGAGTCCGACGGCGGCATTCGTAAGTACGTGTAGTTTGCATGAAAGGATCATGCTTGCTGCATTGATTCGATGTATAAAACGAGAGGGTGTGGAGGAGGTTAAGTGGGGTGAGGTATGTTTTCTATCTGCGATCCTTCTCCTTTTCAACAAGACTTTGGGGCTGATGACACCCTCAATGGCGTATGTAGATTCAAGCCCAACATCTAACGTACACTCCCGTTCTCGGAGAGGGCGAATCAACGCGCGTACCTCATCACACTCAATTGACCATCGTGTTGGACTCCTTACTCGCCTCACGTGCGATCTTGATGGAGGACGGGCAGCTCGCTGCTCGCAGACCGATCGGCGAGAGACGGGTGATTCTGAACTTGGAACAGACGGAAGTAGAACGCGTACTGGGAGAAATGGGGGGGCAGGCATGGAGGCAAGCGCTTAGCGTCGGCACGTGATATCATATAGATCTATCTCGGCACGTTACACCTACGACACGCTATAACCACAGGGCTGCCGGTGCCACAGGGTGCTCGAAAATGTTAGCGTATTAGTATCTTTCCACCGACTGTCGGAAAAGGATGGAAGCGGAGATATTTATCTCACCAACGTAGAATAGCGTTTGTATAATAAGCGGAGGTATCTGGATTTTTACAGTATCGTGCGTGCCTCGCGTGGGGCCCCGGCCGCCACATGATATCCATGGTTCTCGTGTGCACGTGACTGCAACGATATTACGTATTAGGTCGCGATTATGCTTATCTCCAATCCAGTTTCCTGTTCAGTGCGAGGTGGAGCAGTCAAGGAATAACTTACTGAAAATTTTAAGGCTGTAGGTGTGATAAATTTCGTATACTGCAGCGCTGCCATCCGCATTGTTCGAATCGGAGTGGCGTGTCACTGTCGGGACCCTGTGGTTTTAAGTTCAAGGTCTGGGGAAAAAAAAACTAGCCTTTTCCCTCTGTCGGCCTTGCATCTCGGTGGTTGTATATGAGCACCTGGCTTGACCACAGAGAAAGTGAAACCTAAGGAAACACATATAGGGAAATGTTTGGTAAGTCTCCGATAACTGCCAATCAGACTCGTGGGACCGTTTGTCATCTAAAGTGCAAGAACATAACTTCGCCTTTTATACTCGAACGGTCAGCCAACACCGATTATCGGAGGACGTACACCAGCGCACACTTATCGGCCTGCACTATCCACTTGAATGTCTGCGGATCCGGATAAGGAAGACCAACGGCATTTTGGTTTCAGGTAGGGCAAAGAGTTCGAGATCCGTTGTGTTTCCTCTCTAAGTGCGATCAGCGGGAAGGGTTGACCCCGCACAGGATGATACAAACTGTACCAGACTATACCCTTGATTTATGACATGCCCGTGGTGTTTAGCAGCGAAGCTTATTGATGCCCGTGCTCCAACATAGGGTTCGCCAGGGTTCGACGCACTCCGCAGTCTTTGAACCACATGGCACCACATGGGCACGCCTGTCAAATGACCTCGGTGAATTTTCGGTGAATTTTGTATGTCAGCCTCGGATCGGAAGAACATATTGACCCGGTGTATCATGCCTACTAGCCTACTTGGCGCCCCTAAAATGTCAAACTGCTCTTATGTATACGTGGCTACCAACAGCGGTTCCTGCTGGTTCCTGCCTCAGCCTGTGAACCCATGACTCACTGCTGGCGTGTCCTTTGCTTGTTCCAGAGAAATCACACGGTAACTCCTAAAGTGCCAATTTCGCCCTTGCGGTTGCCACGACACTCGTTATAATTCCAGGTGATTACATATTCCTCGATCTTTTCCGTGTGGAAAGAGCATGCTATGTACTTCAAACTTGAAGCAGACTTCCTTATGCGTGTCATATCGGTTGCGAGCGCAATCCTGATCCCGTTACGTGTGATGTATCAAGACGTCCATGTCGTGGGGAAAAGAAATCAGAATTACTAGTGCATTAGACCCGCCTGTGCGTTAACCAGAGGCCTGTGTGAGGGAGACTGAAGGGATGACGCAGAGATGCGTGTGTCACTTGCTAGTATCAATACGTAGACTCTCAACGGCAGAGAATAAAATTGCAAATTGCAAATTCGCCAAGGGTCCAATGTCGAGGTCTCCAGAAAGTCCACTTCGTGCTGGTGCGTCCTGCGTGGCATGCGCAGCATGAAGGTTCTAGATCAACAGGGATCATGCACTACCGTGGGCAGCATCATCGTGAGTCCAGTGAACCTAGTCCATGCTGTTGCGGAAACGAAAAATAATTTGCCAGCTGAGGATGATTGCGTACATCGGCTAAAACGTGTCGATTTAGGTTGTGAATTTCATGGGGTTATGTCCAATGGGAAGGTAACGATTGCGTGGCGAGTGTCGGTCATAGGAATTAGCACTTAGTCAGGGAAGAAATTTAGTATTTAAGTATACACTGTAGTACTTATCTTTGCAGGAGTATCATTGAAGCGCTACCAGAGGCTCTATAAAGTGCCCACGCGAGCCAATTGGGGATGTCGGAGAACCAGATAGGCTCCTATTTTTTGGGTCATGTTTGTAGGATTTCGCCTGACACTGTCTTCTGTCGCGATCTACGATGTAATCTAGTCAGAACCTTAAGATGTTGCCCCGTCCACGTGGGTCACGCGTGCGCGTCAATGGCACTTGAAGCTGTGCTTACCAGAGTTCAGGTGCAGTAATTTGAACTTTGGGAACTGACCCCCATCAGGGAGAGTTGATGCGGAGGTCGTGCCATGCCGCGAGTGAACCTGAGTTACCTGACTCCAAGGAGGAAGGCGGCATCGGCGCATTTTTCAAGATGGGCGTCCGTCAGCCAATCCTACCGATTCTGTACTGACTCTGCTACGAGGGGGACTATCTCCCGCAAGAGCCAGAACTCTTGTCATGGCAAAATATTTGCCCAGTACGTCAAAAGTAGCGTAGAGTTCGGAACCGACTAGGAGTTTCACCATCAGTAAGACTATTCGACAGGTGGCCACCACTAGATATTACCAAAGCGTGGCCGAGGGTTCAAATCAAACTTTATGTGTGATGAAAAGTCATTGAAAGGAGATTCAGAAAATGCCAAAGTTAGGGATCTGTGAGAAGTTTTTTGTCGTATCGGCAGTGGCCGCACGCTACCCTTCTGGCGCCAGTGGTGAAGCTGTGTCTACCACCCTGCATTTTACGAAGCTACTGCCAGAAACATACCTTGCGGCATTGCCAGTGCGTACTTAATCAAGTCGGCCTTCTGGTCCCCTTCCATTGCTACCTTTCCACCGCCTTCCCCTTCCTCTTATCTTCATGTCGTCACAGGAGGAGGATTACAACGATGGAGGACACCCCACCCTCCCAGAATCAAAGAAGAGACGCGTTCAAAGGGCCTGTGACATATGTAGACGCAAGAAGAGTACGTATCTACCCCCCATGCCCTCACCCTCACCTGCTAACGTGATCTGCCTCCACAGTTCGATGTAAGTACATGTGTTTCCCCACCTCATGGGGGTGCTCACATTGCTGAACATGATGTAGGTGATGGAAGTCAAATGCCAGGAAATAAATGTTCGAACTGCATAGCGTACAGCTTTGAGTGCACCTACCTCGAGGTTGCAAGGGTACTTGTTCTCCTGCCCTTTTCGTAACCTTTTAATTTACCCTTGGCTTGAGCAGAAACGGGGTCCGCCAAAGGGGTTCGTTTATCTGTGACGCACTCATTCACCCGGCTGACCTTGTTCGTGTTCAGCTACGTCGAGAGCCTTGAGAACCGACTGGAGAAAATGGAAAAGCTCCTGCAGAAGGCATGATTTCTGCTTCGTGCCGTTTGCTTGCTTACCTTTTGGGTTAGGTATGCCCAGATGCTGACTTCACTCAAGAGTTAGGTGGTGGTCGGATAGATCGAGATTCATGGACCAAGGGCACGAACAACACCTCACCATCTCTTTTTGCGCAGACTTCGATAGAGGACGTCGTCCAAGAAGACGAAGACTCCATCGCGTCGACCCTTGGAGAGAACTTTGCCTCGCTCACTATGCATCCTAACTCCATGCGTTACTTTGGCAAATCCAGCGGTCCTATGCTCATCCAGAAGGCTATCGATCTCAAGATGGAATATAACGGTGACGACATTCCCGGCACGGAACGACTGAAGGAAGCGGTTCGTCCCGAATTGCGGACCATTAATCCTGTATTTATCACTTTGTTTATTTTCTTTCCATTTTTCGGCTCATAATGCACTCATTATTCAGTGGGAGGAGCGAGCGATGATGATGACAGACCCCGAGTTTGAATTCCCCGATGACGACTTGGGTCTGGCTCTTGTCGATCTCTACTTTGCGCACATGAATCATCTGCTCCCATTGCTTCACCGTCCAACATTCGAGCAGAAGCTGCGGGCCAGGCACCACTTGCGGGACCATGCATTTGGTTCCGTATACCTCCTCGTCTGCGCAAATGGCTCACGGTATTCTTGCGATCCCCGGGTTTTTGTCGAGGGAGGCTTTTCTCACTCAGCTGGTTGGAAGTATTTTGAGCAAGTACCGGTAATCAGAAAGACTCTCCTTGCCCCTCCGGCTCTGGAAGACCTCCAAGTCTACTGTGTACGTCGTCGAACCGGCTCCCCGTGGCACTTGTTCACTTTAATAACTCAGCTGGCTTCTATTTACCTGCAAGGGACCTCAGCGCCCCAAGCTTGCTGGACGATTGTGGGCATTGGTATTCGACTTGCCCAAGATGTCGGAGCACACCGGAAGAAGGTCTACAACACTGCGTTGACTGTCGACGGCGAGCTCTGGAAACGTGCATTCTGGGCCTTGGTTACTGTGGATCGCGTTACGAGCGTCTCTCTCGGCCGCCCCTGTGCAATTCAAGAAGAGGAGTAAGTTACTTCTTGGGGTTTCTCTCCCTCTCTGATAGAGGATCACATAGCTTTGATATCGACCTCCCTGTGGAGTGCGACGACGAATATTGGGAACACCCGGATCCTGAACTGGCTTTCAAACAGCCCGAAAATAAACCATGTACTATATCCTTCTTCATAAATTACCTTAAGCTATATCACATTCAAGCATTCGCTCTGCGGACTATCGTACGTCCTTAATGATCGTCTCATTGCTAGACCCAGCTGATCTAAAGCGGTTGTGGTCAGTACTCCATAAGCAAACACAAAGTTGTTTTTGGTAGCAAAGGTCCTCAGTGGGAAGAACGCGTCGTAGCAGAGCTCGACTCGGCGATGAATAAATGGGTAGATGCTGTTCCTGATCACCTTCGATGGGACCCCAACAGGGATGTCGGCATACCCTTTTTCTCACAGTCATGTGTCCTCTATGCCAGCTACTATCAGCTGCAGATACTCATTCATAGGCCGTTCATCCCCTCGCCTCGGCGGCCGTCAGTGTTATCTTTCCCTTCGTTGGCGATCTGTACAAATGCGGCGCGGTCATGTAGCCATGTGCTTGATATCTACAGAAGACGTTCTAATATACCTCATCCATACTTGACGGTGAGTGGTCGTCCGGATCCCCATTTATATTCGATTCTAGCTGCACGTGCTAGATGCCCGCCTTCACTGCCGGTATCGTTCTTCTACTAAACATCTGGGGCGGCAAGCGATCCGGCCTTTCGACAGATCCAGCGAAAGAGATGGCTGACGTGCACAAGTGTATGGCTTTTCTGCAGATGTGTGAAGAGCGGTGGCATAGTGCAGGTCGTCTCCGGTGCGTTGATGCAGACGTGTCTACAACACGGCTAACTTCGTCTTCCCCACCTTCTAGGGATGTCCTTTGTGAACTGGCATCAGCAGGGGATCTCCCCCCACCACAACCCAGCCCAACAGGTGGAGTCAAACGCGAGCGAGATTCAGACAGCGCAAGCCCTTGCTCAACCCATTCCTCTGCACAGTCTCATGATGGTCCACGCATGATCGCAGGCTCTCGACGTGTCCACAGGACTGGTTCTCCGACGTCTCGGCATTACGCAGCCCCAGTGGCGAACTTGCCAGTATACAGTAATGATCTAGGACGGTTGCCCGTACATGGACACGTCAATTTCTCCGTGCCGGGTTTGCAAACACATGCTCCGCACGGCCACCCAGACTCGTCTACGGGTATGTGGTACCCTCAACATACTATCCATCACCATGCCCCTCCGGATCATCATGTCGGTAGTGCAGAGCACCCATCTACGCAATACGGAGTGTCAGGTGCGGGACCGTACCCTCCAGCTCTACCATCTCATGGACCTCCGGCATCGTACCCCTTGAACGATCATTTGTATGGTGATTCTACGGGCGGGTTTACGTACGATGTTTCGCGACATCATCCTCCTTCGCCACCATCTGGGTTCTATGAAGGTGATGGCTGTGGAGGGGACTCCACCAGCGGTTACCATATGGACTTGGATGCGTCCGATATACATCATCCCCAAGGGCACGCACAACATCGCCCTTCACTTCTGCAGCCGCCGATACTAGGACAGGTTGCCGGAGGCAACTCTCATCATGTCGTGGATCAGGACACAATTGCTATGTGGTCAACTGCACCAAGCGGTTTCGAGTGCGTGTTTCACTTTTGCTTCCGTTAGGTATGGATGGAGTTTACTTTGATTCTTGCACAGGGTCAGCGATTGGGGTCTGTATATAAATAATGTATCGGGTGTCGCTAGCACCCATGCACCCATGTCGAGACATGACCATCGATGTCTGGACAGAAGCTTGACACTGTCCGAGTGAATGGACTCGAGAACACTGTCAAAGCCGTCCATACCCAATGTCGAATGGGTATGTTCTTTGAGCATACATTCTTAACCCTACAGCATACTTGACATGTCTTTATTCGACTGATTCACACTAGTACTGTATCTTTTGGACCTTCCCTCTCTTTCCCGGATCTCTCCGCGTAGCTTAGGTTCTATTGTTTATTACCGGTGCAGCCTCTCCGCATATTGATTTACTACTTCACTTGTCGAAAGTATATATCTGTTGTTTGGACATCCACACCTTTGTCTATCTATCGTAAGATAAATTAGTAGGATAATAGTGCCCCGCAGGTGTAGGGCTCAACCCCAGTGAAAGAATGCTGATTTCAAATACGTTGAGAGTATGATCAATGAGGATCAGTGAAACTTGTGTTTATGTTTTTTTTTTTGTGGGGCAGAGCAGTTTTTCCGATTTCACGTAACGGGTGGTCGTTACTACGTTTCGGGTTTCAAGTTTTCACTGCCAGACGTGTGCGTGATCCGGGGTGGTCCTGCTCAATTTGTCCCGTACAGTTGGTAGAATTGGGCATTGTTTTCCTCAGGGACGTGTACAGCCTGTTTGGGTCAAGCTTTCACCCGGCCTGGGGAGGGTCCGAGTTGTACGGTTGTCAACCACTTTATACCTCGGACGGTGGTACGTATCGCTTTGTGGACTGCCAGTCGCCCGCCGTTTCGACTCGTCTTGAGATACCATTCTAACTAGGACGAGGGATACTTCAAGACCCTCGTTTTGAGAGATGTTGACGAGCTTCCCAGCTCCCGTACTTTCTGTTACGGCGGACGCGGTGAAGGATCTCCAAGGGCACGATGCTCTCACTGGACTGTGGACTCGTGAGTATCCGTCTTCACGCTATGCTTCAACTCGGTTTCTGATTGCTGTGTTTCTTTCTTACATCGTCACCGTACTTCCCAATGCTACTTGATGACGACGACACCCTACCAATTCAGTGTTCACGAAATGCAAAGAGTCCCTTCAGGATGGGCGGAGGCTGGAAAACATCTCCTGGCGATTGTGGCATCGCGAGCTTGCCCAGGCTCAGGCTCAAGCCCGTGGTCAGCAGGGACACTCCTCGTCAGCCTCTGCAACATGCCCTACGGCTTATCAGCCGCTCACCCCCGTGTCGATGACGCCTAATCGGCCGGAGGATTCGGGACGGTCTTCGCCTGCCCCTCCCGAACTCGCCGGTTCCGCTCTCCATCCGAGCGGTGGTATCACGCTTGCCACCACCGACGTTGTTGCACCGTCTCCTAGGCAATCACATGTTGTGCCTCGTGCAGGTGAGTCCCGCAGCAAGTGATTGGGCCCCAGGACGGGGTCATTGCTGGTTGCTTCCCTTTCTACGTCCTGAATGGGGTATTGACTGATTTCCTTATGTCTTTGGTCCTTCATGTGACGTGAACATTCAATAATCCCCGCTGCTGTCACGACTTGTCGACGTGGCATGCTATACCAAATCTGGATGTGTAATGCGGGGTGGCAGGAGCGCCAGGAGTCCTCGTTTCCATTTTGGGTCTCCCTTCACCAGGTACTGATGGGAATCGAGATCAGGTGGCGGCCACACCTGATACTTTCTCATCGGCGTATCCACTCGTCGTAAATACCACGACGATGGCGACAGCAACAGAGATGGCGTCGACGAGCACAACACTCACAAGGAGTATCAAGTCCCATTGCGTCGGTCGCGTCATCATCGAGATGCTGCCGAATCATCTACACATACCCAAACCACGCCGGTCAGCCATGTCTCCACCAATGCTATATCCGGAACCACCTCTCTCCCCAGCACTGTCGCATACTTCACGAACACCGTACGAGCAATCAATGACACCAACACCGATATCAGCGCCACATATTTCCGCCTCACCGCTATTTACATCGCATGCGACATCAATTTCGCTGACTTGTACACCTTCGACCCCGTCTATGTCACAATCACTATCGTCCCATGTCAAAGCACAGGTGACAGCGTTATCGGACACCGATGAGCAGCGCGAAGCCAGAGACTTGCTCCCCCCACCCCAAGTGCCCTCTGTTAAATTCCAGCCCCCTCCCTCATCCACTACCATCGGTGATAAAGCCGGAACTAATACTGCTTCAGGCAACGTGACAGCAAACGCATACCCTCGTGTTATCGTCGTCAACCCAACTCCCCATCCTACACCACCTACCACGCCCATCCTAGGCGGTGGTGGTAGTGTTGGTGGTGGTGCCACTTCTGTCAACGTCTCTTTTGATTCTACCATCGATGACGAGGTGGGAAGGATGCAGGTTTCTAAGCCGACACATCTGTCACTACCACTACCGATGGCCGCGGCCCGTGGTAGGCCACGGGGTAATGATCGAGTGTCAGAGCCATCACGACCATTGGTGCCCGGGCCAAAGAATTCGGCTCCCGTTGCTACTTTTGTCGAAGTTTTGGCTCAACCCGCTAATCCACCGGATGACGTCAACGCTAGTGCGGGTATGCCCAATACACCGAGCGAATCTCGGCGGTTCTTCTTACAACACTCACCGGATGACGTATCCCCTGATGGAGATGACGGGCGCGATCGTCGACGTCAGCAGGGTAGCAATCGGGACGCATCTTCTCCTGTGAGTGGGGGCGAGTTGGTTTATCGAGCGAGGGGGGATAACAGCTCTTCACAGAGGAGTGATAGCGCAGGAACCCGACAAAGTCGCCACGCTCACCCCTCTCATATGCAGGTTACGACGGCGAAAATTGGTGCGAAAGAGCATAGAAGGGCTGTGGCTGAGCATAGCGAGGGCGACAGCGAATATGACAACGACGACGACGAACGTGACAAACGGTCCGTGTCTGCTGCGACGAATAACACGTCTCTGCGCGGGAAAAAAGGCAGAGTGGGAACGGCGGCTGGCAGGGCACAGGTGGTACGCCTGAAGCGGGCACATTCGGCCAAACACGGTGTTGGGCTTCAAGGACACGGTCATGCGGTGCCGGTGATGCAGAAGCGATCGGCAGGGCAGGTTGTGGAACGTCGTATGCCTCAACTTCACTCGCAGCAGCAACACCACAAAGCGTCGTTCAATATTGGCTCTGGGTCTTCTGGTGGATCTAAGTCCACGCAATCAACGAATGCACCAATGTACGTGCCAGTTGCGTATGGACCAGTCAACGGTGCTGCCAACGCTCAAGCGCAAGCGCTGATGAAAGATTCGACGTCCAACGTTCCTATCCAGCTTCCTTCTACGCTTTCCGCTGAACCGACAATTAAAGTGCCTAGTGCTCAGAACGATTCTACTCCACAGAACGATATCATTACTGGTTACGGTGACAGTAACGCCAATACGGCAGGGAGCACTAATGCTATTAATAACCAGCCAAACGGGGCGCAGCAGCAACAAGGACGGAGGACGATTGTGGTAGCCACCTCGGAGGAGGAGTACGAGACGACAGACGGATCTGACTCTGGATGGGCGTCAGAGGATATGGAAGAGCATACTCAATCGAAGGATGCTGGCAGGCTCAGGCAGCAACAGCAGCACCATGGAGGTGCAGGTAAAACCAAATGTCTTGGCAAGTCCGCTAGCGCTATATCCAAGGCTGCAGAAGAAGAGATTCGTCTTCGTGAAGCAGCGCTCGAGGCGCAACGCCAACGAGAGTTCTTCACGAAAGTCCCACGGCGGTCGTACTCGAACTTGAACAGGACGCAGTCAGGTTTATTATCTCAGCTTCTGAATCCTGCACTCTTCCCACCTGGACATCCGGACCGGACCACTCGATCATCTCAGGACATTGTAACGACGAACTTGAGGATGACCCGGGCTGATGTGCAGGTACAGGGTCAGAGGCAGCACCACGCCAATCAGTCTTTCCAGGCAGTTCCTCCGCAGAGGAGTCATAGTGCGTTCGCGGCACCGCCAACACGTCTCTCGACCAGCAAGAGTGCTGTTGCGCTTCCAATGGCTGCTCAGGTAACAGCGATCAGTAGCTCGAAGCCTACGGCATCTGCTGTACGCAAGCCAGTGATCAGCGAAAATTTAGGTAGGAATGAGAAGGGGTGTGGTGGGTACCGTCCCAAGGGTCGACCACGGGAGGAGGAGATGGAGGATGACAGTGGGGAAGAGAACGAGGATGATCGGATTCAAGTTTCGAAGAGTGTAGCCCAGGAAAAACTCCAAGCATTGATGTTGCGTCGGTCTTCGTCTTCCCAGCAACGGCAGCTACAGCGGGAGTCGGTGAGTGGGAGAAGTGGTGGAGCGAAAGCCTACGGGAACGACCATTTAGTTGGAGCTGTCGATTATACACCTGATGGCCCGGCGATCACAACGAACGCGGTGACGATGGCTGCGCCGACGCCAATTCCACTTGGGCACCCATACAACCTTCCTCCACCTGCACCACCGATGACACCTCGCACAACGAGAAGGAGGATGCTCAGGACAGAATTGTCCGAAAGCATGCGGAGACAACTGCTGTGGGAGCGACAAGTTAGTAGCACCCAAAATCCCGCTGTTGCCGCCCGTCGTGCGAGAATGACCACGACAACTTCTGAGTCCCCCATGCACACGGGTGCTCAGGGTGATCCTAACCGGACACGCGGAAACGTGAATGGGACCGACGACAGGGAGGGGAGGAGAACGTTATTGAGGAATTGGACGTGGTCGGATGACTATCATTTTGCAGGGTGGTGACGTGTTACTTCCCCGGATTTCTTTTGCTTTTGGTGTGTCCTAGGCTGTATGGGAGTAAGTGTATCCTTCCCTTATGTTTCTCTTCTAAACTATCTCCCCCAGTTCTGCGTCGGCGCCCTCCCAACTGCGTTGACTCCACCCCATGATTGTGCGTACTCGATCATTTTTGGCTATCTCTGCGAGTCTCTTGCTTCCAATCTTTGGTTCTTGTCTATCCTCCTTCGACTAACATCTCGATCGCAAGCATTAGGCATGACAATGCATGTTTATTATCTTGTCAACTACCGTGTAAAATTAGTTCTGACAGTATTAATGCGTATATAATCTGGGTGTAGGCGTACATCGAATACGGGACGATCCCATTCGACTTTGATCTGAGTTGGAGGTGTGTTCAGAAACTATCGCAATGGAGGCGAGCTGTGCACTGTACCGAAGCTTGCTTTTGGATGATACTTCTGTACATGGGGTGAGTGTCCCTCCGCCTTTGGCTAGAACAGTTCGGCTAGTGCCTGTGGAAATTCTGCATAAGCAATGAAGATCGATTGACGGTGGTCTGCTCCACTCTACTGAACGGTGGCAACGCTTCCTTTATCTCCTCTTCAATAATATCCGACAGGCAGAAGTCCTTTTCCCATTTCAAATCTCCCGGTTTGGGCGTAGTAACGTACCCCGGTGTCTTAAAGGCTGCGGTTGTAGCATTTATGTAAGACACATTCCTGAGGAATGACGACCACATTTGCGGATGCAGCCATAGTACTTGGCAATGTTATCGTGGGGGTAGGATCTTAAAGTCTGCGTCGTTCCATCGCATTGAAACACGTAGATGATGTCGTCTTTTATTTGGGTAAGGTCAGGGACTTTGGGGGTTCTACATAGTTGCATCGACAACGCTGACATCTTCCTCCAGTTCAGCAGCTAAGCATCCACAGCGTACTTCCAGATCTGCGGCTTTTTGATGTAGCATACATCAGGCAGAGGATTGGGCGCTTCTAGCATCTTCTCGTCCCAGAAACTCCTGCACCTCATCAAGGTTGGCATTCCTGAAGTCGCGACCATTTCCTCGGAGTCTTGACCAAGGGAATTTTACGTTCTCTTTATACGATGCAGCTACGGCTGCGACTTCCTAGTCGTCGTTCCACAGCTTCAATGCCCTTACTTCTTCCCGCCGGCACCCCAGCTCGGATATCATATAGGAGTCAAAGTCGTAGGCTTACCAGATGACCCGAGCAACTTTGGTACCACCTAGGAAAATGCAGAAGGACGTCCGTACCGATACGTCATCTTTTAAGTGGCGCAAAACGGCGCTGTGCTGCTGTTGTGGCCTCTGATGTGACTTTACAGAAGTCCAATCTATCCAGTCGTATGAGGATTGGGCAACCTAGTCCTAGTACCGAAAAGAAAAAATAGATGGAGATTTCAGTAGCGGAAGCGAAGTCTTTTGCTCCTGCCACTCGCGTTGCTCCCTGGGCAGAGTCGGTCCGCTCACTTTCTCAGAGTTTTTGTTTTGCACCCTCCCGCCAGTCCCTCTCACAGCCCATGCAGGGCAGCCTACGTTCAGGTTGTTTGCCCGACGCGTTGAGCTCGACAGCTGCCCTCTAAAAGCTGTCTTGTTTGGACCCCAGCCCACTCACACAGCTCAGCTCAAGGGCATCTTCGGGTCAGCCTAGGGCCGGAACACCGGAGGTTTTCGCCCAAGTCCTTTCTCTCGTTTAGCGTCATCTTTACATCAGCATACATCTTACGATACACTGCGCTACCTGTGGACCGTCAAGCAGTTGACATCAGTAGTGGCCCTGCACTGCATTCCGCTGCGAATGACGCTCCGACCGTGCTTGATCTCATCTCCAGTTCCGACTGTGAGTGCACTGGTGGGGTCGATCTCACACGTGATGCATCGGACAGTGACTATGAAGCTTTCGACTCAAGTCGTTCCAGCTCGCTCTCAGAGTTGAAAGGGGATGAATTGGAGAGGAATCTCGATCTTCTTCAAGCCGAGGTCGAGGCGAGCATACAGGTCAGGATTGATGGCGAAAGAAGCCCCAAATCAGGTCAGGGAGTTTAGTTCTACAAAGTATAAAAGCCACAGACGTATTCCAGAGGCGGTAGCTCGTATACTTGATGATCCTACCGCCAATTTGATCAATTTTTCTCACTCATATTTGACTCAGTTACTTGAAAATCACCTTGTTTACAAGGTTACTGTACCCCGAAATTCGTCGCACATTTTTCGGCAACCGCGATCCTCCCGAAAACAAAGTCCGATTCAAATCATGGCGGCAATGAATTGTAGGCTTAGCCCGTCCAAGCTCAATGCCAATGCTCTGCTGCGCTGTGTACTTGCGAACGAGGATGGGGAGATGCTGCGGAGACAGGGAAGTTGACAGCGGAGTAATGAGCGGTATATGATCTTTAGACATTGAAATCTCGCGATCCATGTAAATTATGGGGATCTATGTCGGCATCCGTAAACAAGGTGCCTACCGTCCCCGACGGCCCTGTCTTCTAGTCTGTCGCTTGCACAAAACAGGTAGGTGACGCGCACCATATTATATAGTGCAGGCTTGATCGTGCCCGCAATAACCCATATCACCGACCATAACCCGCAGTGAACTTTACCTTATCGATTACTCGATGACTCAACAAAAGCATTAAAAGGGGGGGGGGGGGGGACGTGGGGGTTTATGTACAACAGATAGTTGCCTTCTATCCGCCACCATGGTCATCAGAATCTACGGGCACGCCGTCGCTCCCACCGTCAGGCTCGTCGCTGAGGTTTGCAATGAAAAGGAAATACAATACAAGCTCGTGCCCGTAGCAGTATACAAGGGCGAGCACAAAACACCTGCATTCAAGCAGTTCCAGCCCTTCGGTCAGGTTCCTTATATCGTTGGTGTTTGTCGCTGCGATTATCATAGCGAGAGTCATTGAGCTCCTCGAGACAGGATGATGATGGCTTCATATTGTATGAATCTCGAGCGATCTGCCGATACCTTGCAAAGAAATATGAAGGGCAAGGTACACCTACTCTCATCCCCAAGGATGCCAAGGGGGAGGCTCTATTCGAACAGGCGGCGTCGATCGAAGCGTTCAATTTCTATCCCTTCGCCTCTGGTCTTGCCTTTGAGAAGATCATCAAGAAGTGAGTCAGGGTATCTGTGCTCTTTAGACTATTACCTCACTACGAAGGAAAGACACCAAGGTATGGAGACGGACGAGGTCAAGGTGAAGGTGCTTCTGGATAATCTCGAACGCCAAATTGGATGCATACGAGGTCATCCTAGGAGAGCAGCCGTACTTGGCCGGGGAGGCGAGTCTTTTATAGTGAAATACTCCCCACATGAGAAGTCTGACTGGGGCAATCAAGGACGTTACGTTAGCTGATCTATTCCACTTGCCCTATGGGACGATCGCTATAGAGGAGCTTGGTTATAACGTGCTCGAGAACAGACCGAATGTGGCAAGGTGAGATTTCTTCTCCAGCTTGTCTCGCACTTGCTGAGTCGTTTGAAGGTGGTGGAAAGCGATTTCGTCGCGACAGGCTTGGCAGGATGTGAAGAATGGAGCATAGAAGTCAATATGTGTATACGTTCAAGTGACTGACGGCGTAGATGTCCCGTAGTAATTTGGCAATGCTTCTGTAACGGTATAGGATGTAATACTTCGGCCGTGGTTTCCTGAAATGGAAGGTGGTCACATGCCCTTCTCCGTCCTACTAATCATCATTAGTAACTAATAGTTGATGGTTGAGGAGCGCAAGCACTGAGGTCATTCAGCGATTTTGTAGCTTCATCATGCGACAGAAGGCGATAATATTGAGCCTGGCCTCCACATGGCTCATTTCAGCATTCTCAACTACGGTCTCAGCTCGCACGGGAAATGTTACGTGGCGCGCAAGTACAGCAACCCCCGCTCTGTCTCTTTATGATCTATCGGTGTGTACTTGCAAGCTCTACGACGTCGTGGAATAACCTGATAAACGTCTCTGTCAGTCCACTATATTCTCAGACTCGAAAGGTAGCTTTCGCGTTCTCGTCGTCCGAGCTCGAGCGTCTGACTGACCCTTTACTAGACAAATGTCCACCGTGCTTCAACTGTCTTTTGCCCGCTTTTACGTGCGGGCAGTTCGGTCTCTGCAACGAATACGATGGGCAATGCAAGTGTCCACCTGGGTGGGGAGGCATTGACTGCCTAGTCCCTCGTGCGTAGCCCCTTCACCTCTCGACCCGGCCAAGCGCCTTAGCATTAATGACATGTCCACCTCAGAGTGCGACTTCCTTAGCGGACGGTGACCACAGAACATTGAGAGGCGATGAGCCTTGCGAGTGTAAGGATGGCTGGGGAGGAATCAACTGTAACGGTACATTTCGTACACTCCCTACACACCGTTCTGCGTTTGTCTTACGTCATTCATTCAGTGTGCAAGACCGATGCTGCATGCGCTGGGTTCCCTCTCTCCGGAGGCATTCGCGCCGAGGTGGACGATGGAACGGCTGTCAATATGACATGTTACAAGGGTGGAGAGACGGTATTCAACAATCACCAGATGTGTGATATCACTAGTATGTTGTCTCTCTTTCTTATCCTGGCATATTCGGAACCGTTCTCAGATCGGAAGATTCTCGACATGCTCCCTGGTAGACCTCCGCAGGTGACATTCAGCTGTGACAATGCAACGTCCACCTGTTCCTTTCAATTTTGGACCGCACAACAGGAATCTTTCTACTGCGCTCTCGATGCCTGCACAGTCTCAGAAGAAAGCTGGATATGATGCAGATACCATCACGTATGCATGTGAACATATTAAGTGCAAATGTATACCTGGCAGATTCTTGTGCGGAGAGGATGGCAGTGTCGGTGAGTAACTTAATCCCCTCTATTTTAACAAGATCTGACCAGCCGTTTCGTGCAGATATATCTGATTTTCTTGTCGAGGAGATCCGCGGTCCTGCCAAGTTCAGTTGTAAGACGGGTGACAGCTGTCGCTTCGAGGAGCCCGCAATGAATCAGCTTATCAACGATATCTTCGGAGATGCTTATATCACACTGAATTGTGAGGGCGGTGAATGTCTTCATTATTCACAAGTGCCTGGTTATCAGGTACATTCACTGCGGCTAGCGTCTGGTTCAGTGCTCACATTCACTAGCGACCGACGAAACCTGACAATACGAAATGGGTAGCTTTGAGTAGCGCAGGTGCAGGTTTGATTTTCGTCCTCGCTCTTGCTGGTGCGTCCGGCTTCCTTTCATGGTGTTTCGTCGTTAACGTTTTTGCACACGCTCTGCATCGGTTTTGGTATTAGGTCTATGGTATGTTGGTCACACACGACCTAATTCGTTCGGCGGCGGTCCAATTCACCTTCCCCCTGACTCTTCTCATCCCGAGCATGTCCCTGCCATACTCAACTTTTCCTCCATCTCCTACACGATACCTAATGGTCAAATCATCCTGAAGGACGTGCATGGCGTCGCACGGCCAGGTTCTCTCACGGCCATCATGGGGGCCAGCGGGAGCGGTAAATCTTCCCTGCTCGATATCCTCGCTCATCGATCGAAAAAGGGTACCGTATCCGGGATGGTGCTGCTCAATGGACGTCCCGTGAGTCCCGGAGAGATGAGTCGTGTCAGCGGTTACGTGGACCAAGAGGATACGCTCATGGGCACGCTCACAGTGTTTGAAACAGTGTTATACTCTGCCCTGTTACGTCTTCCTAGGAGTATGAGTGAGGAAGAGAAGGTTGTGAGAGTGATGGGGACGCTTCAGGAGCTTGGCATTGCCGGTATTGCAGGCAAGAGAATAGGCGGTAGTGGTGAGTGTACTCTGTTCTAGGGTGTTGGGTCGCGAGTTGACATCGTTGCATTGCTCCTTTTAGGCAAACGTTCGATTTCGGGCGGAGAGAAACGACGTGTGTCTATTGCTTGTGAACTTGTTACCAGTCCTTCTATATTGTTCTTGGATGAACCCACCAGTGGTAAGTTTCGGGTATCATGAAGATTGTTTCTGTCGTGTTCTAACTATCGTGGAGGCCTTGACGCCTACAATGCACAATCTGTCATCGAGGCGTTGACCAATCTTGCACGCACGTACAACCGCACAGTCGTCCTCACGATCCACCAACCACGCAGTGGCATCGTGGCATTGTTCGATGAATTGATCCTCTTGGCACAAGGGCGTTGTGTATGGTCTGGACCCATGCATGGTGTTCGTACAGATGGTCTCGGAGCTGGTGAAGACGAACAATTGGTAGGACGTACGAATGAGAAACAAGGCGTAGGAGAATGGCTAGGGAGCATTGGGAAGGAGTGTCCTGTCGGATTCAATATGGCGGATTATTTGAGTGAGTGTTGTGATTTTGTCCATGATGGATTAATTTTGCTACATGTGCTAACCTTCGGACATAGTCGACTTGACAGTGAATGCTTGCATCGAGACACCTTCGAATTCTGCTACCCCCTCTCACATCGAGGAAACTTTTGTTCGATGAAGAGCGTGCCTTGCTGTCCGCTTCTGATGCTGACGAAACGGAGCTTCAGACGCGCGTTTCGCCCGCATCGCAGAACTCGCGTCGGCTGTCCATATCCTCAGCAATTCGACGGAAGACATCGCAAATGTTCGATGCCGTGCGGTGCGCTCGTGATGAGGGTACTGGCGCTAATGTACCCGACAAACTTGCTGATTTGGTGGCGTTATACGAAGCTAGCTCAACAGCGAAAGCTATGCGTGCTGAGTTTGACGATGTTTATCGGGTGCATGGATTCTCCAATGAAGTACCCTCAAATGGCACAATCAACGCTTCGGGAGAGCGGACGGATATGCATGAAATGCGGGATGTGGCAGCAGAGACTAGCATGTTACGCGGCCGACAGCGCGCGAGCTGGGGAACGCAGTTTAGGATATTAAGTGGAAGAGCATTCAAGAATTTGTACCGCGATCCTGCGCTGTTGACGGCTCATTATACGAGCAGCGTCGCACTTGCGCGTAAGTCATGACTTTTTTGTCACTGCTCTCGTTTCTACCTATTGTTGTCGACGTTGGGCTGACATCTTGACGATCGTCGCGCTGCGACAGTTATATGTGGTCTTTTCTTTCACAACGTTACAAGTGACATTGCAGGATTCCAAAACCGCCTTGGCATATTCTTCTTCACCCTTGCACTATTTGGATTCTCGTGTCTCTCGAGCCTCGGCCTCTTTGCGAATGAGAGGATTTTGTTCATGCGAGAGCGGTAAGTGTTCCATCGAAGGTGGTTCGAATGTGGAGGACACTGAAGTTCATGGAACGCACGCACAGTGCTAACGGGTATTATTCGACATTTACTTACTTTGCCTCAAAGGTTAGTTCGACTTGGTTGTCGCTTTCTGTTGAAAATAAATCTGTTCCAGGTCCTCTTTGATATACTTCCGCTGCGACTTGTACCTCCACTAGTGTACGGTGGTATCATCTACGGCCTAGTAGGCTTGGTGCCTACCGTTCCGGCGTTTTGGAAGTTTATGCTGACACTTGTCTTGTTCAACCTAACCACGGCGAGCGTGATATTGTTGCTATCCATTTCTTTCGAAAGTACGAGCGTGGGTAGTCTCGTGGGAACACTCATCATGTTATTCAAGTGAGATCATCCTTCCCCATTCCTGACCTAAGTGTCGTCCTGACGTCTTGATGATGCTGCATTAGTCTGTTGTTTACGGGTCTCCTCGTCAACCGTGAGACAGTAACCCCAGCCCTTCAGTGGCTTCACACCGTTTCATTCTTCCACGCCGCCTTTGAGGCACTCGCCGTGAACGAGTTGCGGTATTTGCAACTCAAGGAGATCAAGGTGCGTCGCTACCGCACATCCCAGTTGTTCATCGCATACTTGATTCTGATTGGCTGTTGCTACTGCTGATAGTATGGTGTCGAATTGGATGTTCCAGCTGCCACTATTTTGTCGATATTCGGACTTCGAGCGCAGGTGCGTATTTTCACTTCTTTCACTGATTGTCTTGATCAAGCTGACCTCGCGGTTAGTCGTTTTGGTGGCCCAACATTTCTCTTTTGGCCATCTTCTTCGTGACGCTTACAGCAGCGAGCTATTTCATGCTCCATTTCTTTGTCAAGGAGAAACGGTGAAGGGTGGGGATCGGCCGGGACTAACGACCCCACTTACCTCGACCCCTCTCGTCCTTTTACAAGGCAAATAGCAAGTATAATCGGTATTGGTAACCACAGACACACTTAGAATGGAAGTCCTGTGACATGGGATGGCTGTGATGTATTTCACATACATACGAGTTCGTCCCTGGTTCAGTTGGAAATGTACTATATATGTACATGACCTTGTTAAGACACTCAAGAGGTGGCCAACGTACTGACTTCGTGAGGTTGGTTTGTCGCTCTAAGCCGCTGACCCTCGCTCGGCTCATCCATCAGTCCGCCTTTGGCCACGGTTTTGCGATTTGGTACTTGGGTAATCCCTAGGGAAATAAATGGTCAGTATAGCCCAACGCGCTCTCATTGAACACGAGCTGAAAACGGCTAACCTATGTCATGAAGACAAAGTATTCAACGTAGATTCTTTTCAAGGTTTACTTCCTCATCCTGGTTCTGTCTTTCCCAGCTAAATCCAGTGCCAGGTGACGAGGCAGAATACATCGTCGTCCCTGTGGTCAAATCGGACAAACTTGGCTTCCTGACTAATCAGCTTCAATTAATGTAGCCTTGGTTGGGATTGAACTCACAGGGAATCCAGTCCTCTCTGAATTTGCAGCGACCATCGAGATCGGTATGTCGTCTTGCAGCCGCACCCAATTGCACGGCCAGCGCTCATGAAGGGCATCTCAACCTTTCGACAAGCTTGGAGCAGATTCCAGCTTCCGAAATAATGATCGAGTGTAATTTTGGGTTCGTTACCAAATTACGAGCCAGTGAGTAGGAACTGGATGAACCTTACGGGTTGCGGTGGAGTATAGGTTTCCCGGTACTTGGCCTAGAACGGTGTCCCCTCTGTTCCACCTGGGACTGCACAGGTTTGCACTTATCATGCTGTGGACGTTCTTGCCGTACGACGCGTGCCGACGTCGCGGTAAGTCCTAGATAACGATGGGCGACGAAGCTCTAGAACTGAGGCTGAAGAAAATCGAGGCAAGGTTTTTTGAAATCACACCTTCGAGGGGAACAGAAGAATCTTCGGCAGTGCATGATGGATGATGTATTGGCATTGATGCGCCACCCACTAGGCCCGGAATGGGGGCGCAATAAACCTGTATATAAGGGTTTATACTGTGACGTGGCAGTACTGATTCCTGCAGGAGGGTCTGAATTGGCGCAGAGCTGCATTTGGATTCTACGATCATCGGGTCAGCCTTTCCCATGCGGACACATACAGTACTTACAAGCAGGGGTTGGACGTCGAATCATAGAAACCTAATCACCAATTTGCAAGTCTGGATCACGTGAGAGCGGCTATCAGATAAGAGAGAGTTTTTCTGCTGCCGAGATATAAGGCCCTTTTTATCGATAGCGATAGCTGATCCTCACCCTCGTCGTTGTGTCGTGCCACATAGTGACATACATAGGTGCTTGCATATTCTCTCAGCGCTAACTCTTTTCGTCACTGATTGGGTATGTGGGTCCCGTCGCTTTCCGACCATGGTTGGTACTGTAATAGATCCAACCAAGATGGCTACTACCTCGGACGTTGGCGTTCTGGTGAATGCGTGCTTCCAAGTCCAATGTGACAAATGCGGCAAGATGACCTGGAAGGTGGGTATCTACTACTCTTGACAAATGATACCCTCCTGGCTTCGTGTTCGCGAGTATATTGGACAATGTCCTCGGGTGCGGTGATTGGTTGGAGATTCGAGGGGCGAGGGTAGGCCAAGGGATTCAACTAATCCGCGGATTAGTAGCAACTCGCTGGCCTTATCTGTCCACGCACTGCAGAGAGTTGTCCCGCTTTGGCTCGCATTTGAGGATGTATATTAACTGCTGCTTTTTACTTTGGACAGGGATGCGGACGGCATGTTGATTCCGTGGGTGTCATTTCACACCTGCTCACAAGGACGCCCTACTGGACGTGAAACAACCCTAGAAAGGGATGAGTCCCTTGCGAAGAGACCCCCTTTCTCTTCTTTTCGTTTCGTTTCGCGAAGCGAGCGGTATCACCCTGTGTTTGGTGCACTTGTGGGCCCTCTTTTGATAGACGCTCAACTGTCGTACTTTTACAGGTAATGAAGGATGTGAAGGAAGAGGATAAATGTGTTTGTCCTCGCTGAGGTGTTTGTGAATCTGAGATCCAGTCCGGGAGTGTCCAGGGTCGTGGCTGGTTGCCTTTTTTGTCGGCTAAGATACTACCTACTTACTACTGTCCTGGCATTACACTCTGCCTGCGACTCGTATACAGTCCCGTTTTTTTGTCGTCGACTTCATGTATCCAATTCAAACATGGCCGCCAGCGTAGCTGACAGTGGCCTCACTAGCGATCCGTCAGGTCTCCCTTTCGATCCTCCGGGAAACGTGCGCGTCACAGAAGAGCTCCGATTCCGCTACAGCGACGACAGACGTCCCATTGTCAACCAGTATCTACGAAGTCACCGGGTCGGAAAAGGTCAACACGGTGAAGTATGGGTGTGTTGGGACTTGAACAACGACCGCCGCGAAGTCGTAGGTCTCTTGCATTTCACATCTCCTTGTCGTACTCATACCCCGGCTGTATTGTATCGTCCCTTCTTGTTCTCTAGGCAATCAAAGCTGTCAAGCGTGTCAATCCTCGCGCAGAAAAACTGAATCTTCTTCGCAGGAGAAATCTCCCTGCTTCATCTCATACACCTCTCACCGACAAACTCAGTAGTCTCGAGCAAAAGATTCGCAAGGAAATTGCCATTATGAAGAAATGCCGCCACGGCCATATTGTCCGTCTCCTGGAGGTCATCGACGACAAGCTTAACGAGCGGATATACATGGGTAAGCATGGACTTCTTTTCATGTCAGTCGCCGAACACCTCCCCTTTCCTTCTTGCACGACTCTTCCCCTACAACGCCCCTCTGAGCATGATTGGTTTGGGCCTCGTCGAAGGAGGGATATGTTGTCCGAGGTTGATCTGTGGAACTGCCTGCTCACTACCACCACCTATGCAGTTATGGAGTACCTCAGCGGCGGAGAAATCAAATGGCGGAACGAACGAAACCAACCCGTATTGACAGTAGACCAATGCAGACGCATCTGTCGTGATGTTATTCTCGGTCTCGAGTACTGTGCGTCGATTAGTTATGATCCTCCGATTTATTCACCCTCTGACCTTGCTCATTCGCTGGTTCCGTTTTGTACAGTGCATTATCAAGGTATCATACATCGTGACATCAAGCCAGCCAACCTCCTCTGGACAGCAGACCGTCAGATGGTCAAGATTACAGATTTCGGCGTGTCTCATTTCTCCTACGCCCAACGCCTCGCAGCGGCGGGCCGTGGACAGGTGGCTCTGGATGATCCTAATGACCCCATCCTACTCGACGATTCAGACTTATCCAAACGTGCAGGTACACCCCCTTTTCTGGCACCCGAGGTCATTGCCGAGTATACGAGCACAGAGCCATTTCCATCCATGTCTGCATCCGCGACGAGCAGTACACTACTGTCATCCCGAAGTGGTACTCCTGTCAATTCGACGACTACGATCCGCGCCTCTGCTGCTCCACGTCGTCAGCCTATCACCAAAGCAATCGACGTCTGGGCATTAGGCAGTCACACTGTATTGCCTTTTGTTTGGCCACATCCCCTTCCGAGCGGCTGATTCGAGCGAATACGTGCTATACAACATAATTTGTAACAATGACTGGGAACCTGACGAAACGATGGGTTGCGACGCTATCCCTACGGGAGGTCGACGTTCCGATCCGAAATCTCGGGGATACGCGGTGATGCATCTTCTCGACCGGTTCTTGCAGAAGGACGTTAGTAAACGCATTACGCTGGGCGAAGCCAAGGTGAGCGCGTCCGTTTCGCTTGTTATCCCCATCGTTCCATTGACCCGGCCGCTGCTTGCCTTCCTGCCAGCGCTATCCCTGGTTCCTTTCGGATATTCCAGAGCCTGAGGAGTGGCTCCGCCAAACCTCACATAGCAAGACTGATATCGTCATGGTCACTGATAAGGAGACAGAGAAGGCCATGACGACGGTGCGATTCAGTTGGGGGTGGCACAAACGTCTCACGCATGGGATATCCTCGCTTCTCCGTAATGTTCGTCCCAAACGCCTTCCGCCTTCTCGACCTCGTCGTCGTGACGACGATGACGAGAACCAATTTGGTGTAAACTCATCCCCTGCCATTACTTTTATGCAGCCAAAACCTGCAAGTATGCGTACCGTTACACAGGAGGGTCGCGTGAAAAGTAAACGCCGTGTTGCCATTCATTCTACCGCTCTCCGAAATGATTCCACACCGAACATTGCACACGGGCACCAGGGACCGATGGAGAAGAAGATAATGTCATCATTAAAAATCAGACCTCCACCGCGTCCTTCAGACCCAAGCTCCTCGCGGCTGACCTCACGATGTGGTTCAGATGCATTCGTGCCTCCGAGGGAGGTGCATGACGCACCATGTGCCCGGCCCTCTTCGAGTCGGAACAGCGAAGGAACGAATGTTGTTATGCCTTCGCCTGTAGAGGAACGTACACGACACCGGTTCTCTTTGTCCTCAATGAAGTATTGGCGATCGCCATCACATCGTACGACTTCCCAGGCATCCTCACCGCTCGACACATCTTCAGTTGGATCGTCCCAGGACAAGGCGCCACAGCAGAGCCCGTCTAGTGATGTGAATATCATGCTGCGAAGGAGCGAAGAGGTACTACGACACCACGGACACGAGTGTATGCCGAGCGGCACGCGTAGTCCATGTGAAGGAGGATTGACTGCTGCGCGACGAGCGTCGAGCTGGGGCGAGCCCATGAATTACGTTGAGGAAGTGACGAGTCTGACGTCAGGAGAACACGACGGGTTAGACGAGGACGCGCTATTTCTTGGCGCTGGAGGGGTATGTAACGACCCGAGTACATTGATACCGAACCTGTCACTTGGGTTCAGTCATGTTGCAGAAGGGACGTTGCGGCATCCTCAGCCTGAACGGCTGCATATCGGACCTGGGATGGGCGTACGCCACGTCTCACATGAGAGTTTGTCGCACTACGATGCCGGAGTTAGGGTCACTGCTACACCTGGGCCTGGTCCGTCGTCCTCATCGCTGAGTCGGCAATCTCATGTTACGATCTGCGACGGCGAGCCCGAGTCCGTTGCATCGACTCGCATATGAATCCGGTGTCGATCAGGCGAGCGCAGGGGACGAGTACGATGATGATTTGGATTCGGACTCGGATTCGAGCTTTTTCAGGGATAAACATCAAAAGCGGGAGGAACAGGCGGCTTTACTTCGATCCCAGGTTAATCGATCATATTCGGATGATGATGTGGAAGAGAGTGATGAAGAGTATGCCCCGATTGAGGTGAGGCGTCGGAGACCATCGATCTCAGTGACTGCTACATCACCGCCGCCACCTCTCTCGGACCTTTCTGACGAGCAGGATGCGCAGTCAAGGTAGAAGGGGCCGCTGCAAATGATACAATGGTCCTATCGTCCGATTCCTAGGATGCTTTTGTGTTCGCATGATGGCTTCGTCCGAGTGGTTAACAGTTGTGAACCTCGGATCCAGGTGGTTGGCTGCTTCGCCTTCGCCCCCACCACTGTTTTTTTCTTTCTTTCCTGGGTTTCTCATGTTCCCGGTTGCTGTCAGGGCCGACCTCTCCTAGACAACTCTGAAGCCACCCAAACCGTTCCTCTCATTTTGTAGGCCCCCCAACCTTGCACGATCATGATACCAATAACCCCGTTGCTTTGTCCTTTCAAGAGCTCTATCTTCTCCAGGGTCCTCATCACTCTTTTCTGCGTCTGCGTCAGTCAACAAACTGCTGTCCCGTGGTCCTGTCTTGTATTCTCCACACTCGACTACCCTCGACCACTTGTCTCCCGTGGGCCCCACCTACTAGACGAGAACCCGGATTTCTTCGCTGCTGTCAGCGCTCATGGTTTGCCTCTTTCTGATCTCTCGCTTATTCTTTCCTATTTTCTTCCTTTTCCTATTTCATATCCTGCATTGCCGAGCATGCTTAAGGGACATTTTGTTTAGTAACTAGACCTCTATGTCCAGTCTTTTTCTGATAGATGTCGCCATCGTCCCCACGATCACCTCCATCCTCTTTTCTTTTTCGATGATCACATCCCATTCACTATCACTACCACCATTTTTACTACGTCGCTACTACATTGCTGACAAAACCTTTTTCGACTACATGTTAAATTTATACCGGCTAGCCCGAGTCCCTCCACGACCACGATTTGGTTGTTGTACTGATTGTACTTAGCTAGGCATTAGTGGCTACTGTCAGGCCATAGTCGATCATTTTATATGTATCTTGCTTGCGTCCTGTTCTCTTGTCGATGCAAAGCAGCTCAATTGTCAGCGGGTGTGAACGTTCATAGCGTTTTAGGCCGATATTAGATGATATCCTCTGTCGTTGGTTGCCTTGAGATCCTGCCAAAATTACTGTAAATCCAACCCAATCAGACTCCCAACAGGTATTCGATCCGTCATTTCATCCTCCAACAATTCAGAAGGTCTGTTCTGAGGTTTGGGACTCTCTTTACTTGCAAATCTTCAGATCCCTCATGGCAGCTCAGGGCATTTTCTGGATCGAGTTACGTCCCATGCTTCTCCACAGCGGATCTCCATCGTTCCCGACACCTGAAGTGCCTAGACCTTCATATGTACGCTATCTAGTCCAAGTCTGCGAAGTCTTTGTGGTTACCGATCGTACCGGCCCGGATCCTTCATGCATAACATTGGGGGTGGAGTGAATGCGAATCCATGGGGTACGAATATAGCAGTACAAAAAAACCCTGCAACTAGTACACTATCATGGAGAGTGGTCGCTGCTATTCGCTCGCAGCCATCACGGGTGTGAGCGACAGCAGTGGTGCAATTATATAGTATGAGTTTCTGCGTCGAGTAGTACACTTTCGAGCATGTGACCGAGCACGACCTCGACGAGGCATATCTGTGTCCGAGAGGATCGTTACTGGCATGCTCCGTCATCGGACTGTGCAGGAGTTTGTTGAACGCTATCATGGCATAATCCCCCAAGCCTGTCAACATCAATCTCACTCTCCGTCGCCGACAACCCCTCTTTAACTTCTGGTGCGACAACCTTTGATTAAGTCGGAGAACATACTAAGTCTAAATACACCCAAAAGGCTCCATTCCTGTCTGTACATCTACATGTTAAAAATAGGTAAATTCGTAGCACATGGCTCCATATGCTCACTTGCCTCTGTTTACTATTGATGCGTCCAGGCCATACCCAAGTAGGGTCACCTAATTTGCTGCAGTAGCATCATCTGCCCTGGGTTAAAGGCCGTAGTCACAGCAATAGAAGACACCTCAAGATATAAGAACAGTGCTAAACCTACCAGAATGTTGCATTATATGTCTCGCTGCTAGGTACATGCATTGACACAAATGCCACTGCGTTTTGCCCCATGTAAGGATTCGGTCCGACGCTGTCGACCGAATGACTAGATGTTGGTTCCTTTATGACAGATCTACCGTCCTTCTCATTTATTCTTTGATCCTACTTAACCCGTACGGATACTCTGACATATATCGTGCCTAGTCTCTACCCTATAAAATAGGCCATGTAGCGTACTGTACGGGAACTTCTTTCCTACCTCGAAATAAGACACTCTTGTCTGGAAAACTCGAGTAGAGCAAAGAATCCTTCTCGTTGTGCCGCCGTTAAAAGTACTTCAGTTCTTATCGGCATTACACCCCAGTAGACACGGCGGGGGTCCCAAAAATCCTGTCATAGGACAGGATAGGTTCTGGAAAGTAACACTCATGTCCGGCACCGCCGTCAGAAATGTACTGTCATCAGGAAAATAACACTTTACTATTTTTGAATTTTTGTGACTAATGTGACTTTTTGGGAAGGAAACTACTATCATTACCCATGTCCTGCAGGCATGGCTGCACTTTTCTTGCTGATTTTGGTCTTGTTCAAACCACCTAATTCATAGCTTTCAGTAGATACCACATACATTCAAATTGATGGAGGTTCCAAAGAGATATTGTGATTTTTCTCTCAGACAGTGTGCATCACACCAATGGCTCAATAGCTCTGAATTTTTAGACATTTTCTAGTCTTCTTGGCTTAGATATATCATCACTTAGTTGTCTCAATAGATTCTGTTCTCTTTTCATTCTTCAAAATGCTGTATATGGTCAAAAAAAAGTACAGATAGTAGGTTCCTTCCCAAAAGTCACAAATAGTCACAATAGTCACAAAAAAGTCAAAAAAAGTCACAAAAAGGTCAAAAATAGTAAAGTGTTAATTTCCTGATGGTAGAGTCTTTGTCAGTAAAGAGAAGTGCAACACAGAGCACCGATCGTGCGTTATAGTAGGGCATTCCTTACCATTAAGACAGTATGAGCGCTCGCCTTCTATTTAGAATGGACAGTCCGCTAGTTACGTCGCTGCTAGGGGCCACTCTCACATTATGCGATTGATGAGTTCGATTCACTTGGCCCAACACGTCTCCATTAGGTAGCCAGAGCAATATCAGGTAAACCCTTCCGTAAGTGGAAGCAGAGATATGTGGAAATGTTCTACCCTCCGCCCACGAAATCATCATGTACAATTACAGCAAACATTCCTTCAAGTACCTTTTTCAAACTCTAAACACCGGTCGCACGCACTGATCCGCGCCTCTGCCGTTTCCTTTCACTATGGCGTGGACTCTTCCACATCTCGCAATCCAACAAACTCCGCCACGACCTCTCGAGCGTCTCATATGCTCCATGACCACTAAAACTAGGCCAGATAGAGAATATGAAGAGAAGGAAGAAGAATGGAGCAAGGGAGGCGGGTACAGCGTGGTTTGTGGAGGAGAAGACGACGAGAGACATTCCGAGAATGAACAGGAAGATGCTGGAATAGAGGAAGCATGCTATTTGGCGGTGAGAGGAATGAGGACATACCCCCACACTAGGAAAGCATATGGGAGGCTGTACATGATGGCCAACCAGTCCGTGCCAAATAGAGACTTATCTGCACGTTGCAAAAGCGCCGACTGCTTACGCAAGGCCAATACGCAGGAAGTTAACTTTTCCATCATTAGACATGACGCGGATCATACGCACAGTTGCGGTTGCTGATGAGTATTCCTTCCCACCGATACGCTCCGTGAGTTGAATTGATGTGAGTATGGATGCCACAGAGAAAAAGATGGAAAGGTAAATGGAGGCGACTGCTGCGGTCATCTGCAAGGCCACGGGTGGCGAGGGGTCACCACCACTAGGGGTACTGTTTTCAGTGCTGTTAGAAAGGGTGCCGCCATTAGAGCTGCCTCCGCCGCCTCCAAGAGCTGGGACAGCCAGCAAACTCACGTCGGCTGTGAGTAACACAGTGGACTATACAGCAAACACGCGTGGATAAGTGGGTGAGCACGTTGTGCGAAAACAAAAGCAACGCACGAAGATTGTGAAGCGGGCCCATTCCGAAGTGAGCTTGGTGATATACTTTTGCCAGCGTGGATAATGGACGATCTGATCGACCCACATCTGCCGAAGGTCTTCTAAGTGCGTTGAAGCGGACTGGAATAGGAAGACATCAAATATTCGGATGAGAACCGATGAACCGCTGCGCAAGGAACGATGGTGCGAGGCGTATATATATTGATCAGCATTGAGCCGCACGCAGGGTTGGCCGCTGAAGTTGATGAATCTGCTATGACCTGACAAATTTGCATAAGTTGGCGGGCGGAAGTTAGTTTGTGATAGGGCTTACTGAATGCTTTCGCAAACCGCGCTCGACGGGGATTAGGGAGTTGGTAGAGAAAGCCAAATAGCGAGTACCTGTTACCCAAACAGCATATGGATTTTCCTTGCCGATACATCCTACAAGTTGAACAGTGTTCCACGAGGGAAAGTATTAAAGATGTGCAACTTAATATACCTTCGAGCTTGTCCACCAAATCCAACATCTTGGTCATAGAATCTAAATCAAACGGGGCCAGAGACGTGCTCGAAGTCGCAGCATCTGCAGATCACAAGGTCAGTGGAATGCAATTTCGAATAAGGACTACGAACCGGCAATTGCATAGGTCAGAATATTCCTCAGTTCTTCGTGATCGTTTGCTTTCAGACCGCGCCGGTTAGGGTATAACTCGATGTGCATCCTTTAGAGTGACAATTGTCGTTGAAACGTCAAAACTTTTTACCAGTAAGTACATTTCTGTTGTCTTCGGTGACGACACACATACCAAGGCAGCGACAGCACCTACCAGTACTGTGTTACGACCGCTTGCTCTGTACATAAATAGGAAAAGGATCAGATATGCGCACAATCGTTACCCTATTTTACCTACTCATGTGATCTCTCGCCGTTACGCCCTTGACGCCGGAAAATATATTCGACAGATTGTAATTATTCACCCAAAAGAGCAGCCGTCGTTGATGATCGATGAAATAGTATCCCAAGTCCCCTCTCTTCTCCGGGCCGGGTACGGTCGTGATCACGAGTTCCACATCCAAATGCGAGGGCAGTCCCAATTGTCGTGCTTTGTCCAGTAAATTGTCAGAAGTACCCACAAGGTTGACTAGTGTTTGTGGTCCCGTAAGGTCTGTGATGATGCGCTAATGAAGGTGATGAATGAGATTCGTTAGGAGCGAAAGGGCTGCCCGACCTTTTCTCCGTGCATATAGTAGGGAGCGCCCTCGGGCTGCGTGTATTTCACCCACCCGATAGGTAATGGCGACCTGATTGATGAGCTCTTGTTAATAATATCGATCTGTCGATAGGAATGGACAACAAACGCGTTGTAACTCATATCCCCTTCTGTTAGGATTTCCTCGGATTCGCGCATATCATCCCTGCTTTTAATACATGAACTGTTACGGAATCAAAAGGGTAGTTGCACGAACACTAGGGGTCTCTTTGAAAACCTGTGTTTCATGACTTGCTCAGGAGAAGTAGGCACCAAGCGTCGCTGAGACACGGTGTGAAGTCTGTCCCGGACAGGTTGCACTACCACTGGATGTCGGGAGAAATGAACCGGGAGGTCTTCAGTCATGGAATCCTCAGTTGGGACAGTGAGATCCATCCCTCTACCAGCATTAGTGGTCGCGGGTGGGTGCATATCAGAAGGGGCCGCCTCGCCCACCTCCATCTGTTCGAGTGGAGATGGCATAGAACTAGTACATATGGTGTGGATGTTATTGCGTTCGCTGGGTTTCCGGTGGAAACCCGCAGTGCAAAGGGAAATTATGAGCCGGAATAGGCGTAGGGATTCGCCGCCCATCGAACGTATGGCTTTGAAGACACGAAGGAACCATGCTATAAGCTTTGAGAGGTGAGTACAAGGAGGCATCGATGCAAGCGCCCGCCAAGTGGCTACTGGTTCGAGAGCCTAAATAAATCAGCTTATAGGTGTTGCACTTGTACAGCAACTCGAGTGGAGGTCTGATGGTTACTTTGAATGCCGTGGAGGTCCCCTGAACGAGTTCCATATGGTGATAGGCCGCTCAACTAAACCTGTGTCTGTCGTCACTCGTGGGACCGCCAGATCGTCTCAGGTTTGTATCTAGTTAAATTCGAGCGTTAAGCGACACAATCGAAAAAGAGGCAACATCGAACCCCTACTACTTATATCGTCTCGCAGGCACGGCACACGAAGACGAAGATATGTCTCCAGAAACATCAAAAAAAAACCGAGTTGCACCACCGTTGTTTCTCCCCCGAAATCGCCCCGCACACCATGAGAAAAGACTCGTACTGCTTACCTGGCCCCAACTCCAAAGCCGCCTTACGCGCACGGCTGCATCCAGGGAAGACATTCACTGCTCGTATTGCCCCATGATTTTACGCAGGAATATGAGCGGGAATTGGGAACCTACCCCCCCAGACTTCTGGTTCCGCGTGATGCACGTATTACATGTAGCGGTGAGACAGGATATATTGCCTTGAATAGAGGAAGAGTTCCGTCGGGTACTGAGGACTGTGGAGGATCCAATTGTTAGCGGAAGATTAGGGCGTGTTTTTGTAAGTTACTATTTCATCGAACGAAGGGTGGTGAATGACTGAAGCCAAGACATATCTGGTGTATCTGGAATGTACAGAGCCTGTGATATTGTACACCATGTACCATGGTGCACGCACGCGGTCACAGTGAAGGAACTCATACGCATGACGGAGGACAACGTCTGTCCATCTTATGCTCCTTATTGCTTGCTTCTTCTCACATCTACGATGCTGGGTGCAACAAGAAGCCAACCCCGCTAAGGACAGACATTTGAGACTTTGCGCCAGTCCAGGTCAATAATAAACACTACAGTGGGGGTCAGAGCCGAACCGGGTGGTCATGCGTACTATCGATTGCTTTGCTCTGATACATTCTCACCTCGCGATTTGGTGTCATATCGACGGACGGATTGGACCGGAAAGGTGGTATACAATTCCAAACTCATCGTTATTGCTGTGACGAATGCAATGGATCTCCCCAGGAGTGTGAGCGATGTGTACAGTCTACTATAGGGTAAACCTTCGTCGACCGTTTTGACACTCCCTGATCGAAGGCTCTGCCGGGCGAGAAATGCGAGACGGGAGGTTTTGCATAAATTTGGAATAGATTGGTAAAATAAAGCGGCTGGCGCTTAGGTATGCAAGTGGAATTGTGGTACAGACATTACTTAGCTATGTTCCTATCAAAATTCTGCATTCATAACCATATTGATCACACACACATCTTCCCCACCAGAGTGTGATTTTCCGGACGAATCATGTACAAGATTGCATGATTGCCAGATTTTTACTTGAATTTGTTCCATGTCCCAAATCTATCAGGGGTAGCGACACCACGGGTAGCAAAACTCAGCGCGTTGCGACAGCGCACTCTGAGACAGGTTAAACCAAATGCTAGTCACGGGAGATGGACGCTACAAGTGTGCTGATACTAATTCCATGCCATGAGATCACAGTACTCCAAATTTAAAATTTGAGACTCGGAACCAGCAAGCCCATCACTTGCATTTGATTCTTCCACCCCTCCAAGTGCATTTTATCCACTACAGATTCAGGAGTGACGGGAGAAGTTCACCACCACGGCAAGGCGTTTAAGGATGAGTAAGATAGGATACCGATACAAGGCCGACTTCACCCATCCATAGTGAGCCAACAAACTAAAACCAAGTCGAAATGCCTCTCTTCGTACCTGCATAAAATCAAGAAACTTCCTCCATATCGTCGTCGTCGTCTTCGTCTTCATCATAATCATCCATTGAAGCGTCGGCCATTGACGCCTGGGAACTTGGACCCGGAATATTCTCAGCCTTCACCTGTATACCATTACTCAATTCCTCCCCGACCATCATGGCGCACAACAAGGTACTTACCCCTTCATTTAAAAATATCTCCGAGAGCTCCCACAAACCATTGTACTCCCCGCTCCGATGGAGCGTTGCTATCTCGTTCAGAACTTCTTTGAGGTACGCCTCTGGTTGCTGCGTGCGCTCCCTCAACGGCTTAATACTCCACCTTGGCTGTTCTTGGAACAGCTGGAAAAGCATATCCAACAGCTGATTCCGAGGCATGCGAGCCATACGCTCAAAGGTTCCCTTGACAGGTTTTTGTTTGGCTTTCTGTTACACGAATGTAAGCGGACCACCATACGATGAAAAACGACACAGACGATCATGTCCGCGAATGACCCGGTACTAATACCGGTACTTAATCTGTTGATTCCACCTCGTCCACCGCTTACGCCAGCTTCTTCGATCATGCGAATTTGTCTCTTGGGGGTGTTGTACGCCCGACTACGTTCACGCATATGTAGTCTGTACGACTCATTGAACAACGGACGCAGGTTACACTCGTGCTTGATTCGACCCGTCAGAATTGTCGTTCGAGCACGGGAATTATGAGTATGTGGCGTCGTGACTGATGGTGGGGGGACGACGTCCTTTGGCCGTTCAGCGACGACGAGTTGATTTTCCACCGACCCATTCACCATGTCCAATTCGTACCTATCTACGTGCACGCCACTTTCACCCACAGGCACGTATGCAGCGTCGGAGGGGAACTGCGGGAAATCAGGAGCACGAGGGGCTGGATCGTTTGGGTCTGGAGGGAGAAAGAGGAATATACGTGGAGAGCGTCCCGAGGGGCTAACAGCATTCGGGTAAATGCGAATGGTAGCGAGGTGGATATCTTCTTTATCAATAGCAGCCCATCGTGCCATGAGGTGTTTTGGGATCTGAGGAAAGCCGGGTAATTAGAAGCAAGCGAACGTCACCAAGGCCGAACCTTGAACGATCATTCGCGTATGCAAAAAGAAAAAGAGAAAAAGAAAAAAAGAGAAGCTCACCTTGACAAGCCACACACGTCCATTACCTCTGTCCAGCATAAGCTCTTCATCTGGATCCGGTTGTGTTTCCTCCTCGTGTTGGGCTTCGACCTCAAACTTCTTCTCGTCTTCTACACCGAAATCATCCATTTCGGACGCCTGGCGGAGGCAGAAACAGTCTACCTCAATGAATTTTGATTTTGGTCGAAGTGTCTCCCCTAAGACAGCGCGCAAATGCGGTCGTCCAATGAAACCGCGCCCTCTCCGAGCTAGAGTGCCTTGGACCTGGTGGAGATTGCTGAGCTAAGCTGATTATGTCAGAATACCCCTATCCAATAACCCGTCCCCACCCTAAGTCGCTTTACTCTTGATTGAATACACCACATGTACTAGAAGACCTTGTGGAGGAAATGCCAAAGTTCACCAACGCATCGCATAGGTAAACGACCCTCACATCTGCTGTTGGTCGTTTTCAGCCTTGGTATCACTGTTCCCCACCCATGTATTCGCACTGAGATTCTTCAGGCTGAGGTTATTTTCTGATATCAAGTACGTTTCACCAAGATCTACAGAAGAATGGCCGGCATCTTATTCCAGCTTGAGCCGTTGAGATGTAAATTAAAGTGGGCAAAATCCAGACTTCACTCTTGAAAACATCCATCTGCATGCTCGTTTCTGCAAATGGCCAGTACTCAAAGGTAACAGCAACAGCTGGGGCAACTGACATTGAGAAATCGAAGTCTACTGTACAGGTCTGCGAGGTGCAAATCACGTATCATCTTGCATCACATCGCATCGTGCCTTGAAAGAAAGAACAGGTGGGAAGCCACCAAATAGCACATAACTGGTGTACTGCAATTCTTCGCTGGAAGTGGGGGCGATTACGTCTATCAAGCACCTGAGCATCGTTAAGTACGAAGACAAGAGACATGATTGCCATCTGCCAGAGACCAACATCCAGCTTCACAGATAAAAATCACGCTGAAACTCGTATGGCACGAGCCGAACCTCCGCTTCATAATAGTAGTAAGTACATACATTAATGCCACTGATCCGGTAACCCAGTCCGAAGCACCCCATGACCGTACTCATGATTCATGCACATGCCCCACCTACAACACAATCAGATAAAATATTCCACGATGTGGGATCTTAACCCCTCCTCGTCTTCCTCCTCTGCGATTTTGGAAGTCTCTCATACGCATTCCAATCAGAATCAGAGTCCGAGTCGTGTTTCCCATTCGGGCCGTGAGTGTGTCGGTGTGGACATGGCAAGACTTGGTCATGTTCATTACTGCCGTGTGCATCGGATCCAGCGCACGAGCTATCTGAATCAGATTCTGATTCCGACGAAGACTCATCAAATCGTCGTTGCTTGTGGAATATACAGCAGACTTTGGGGGTGACTGTCAGTATCCATATCCCTGTCGATCGCAATGCAAGTCCTCCGTCCTCAAGTGAAAAAAGGGAGTGGGGAAGGGGATTTAGGGAACACACTCACTTTTGGACTTCTTCTTCCCGCATCCTTCATTATCCACAACGTCCTCTCCCCACATGACCCTTTGCGCATTCCGCCTCGATGCACCTCTCAACCGAAGCGTGCCCACCGCCGTCCTGGAACTCTCTCCCGGACCCGATCCACCCTCGCCCAAGCTCCCACTAGATCCTGAGGCACCAATTCTATCAATTACCGGAGTCTCATGCGCGAGGGTCGTGATCGTACGAGATCCATCGGAGGGTGCAGACGTGTAGGGATGACGTTGCGGGGCTGTCTCCATGGGTATGTGTGTCCAGCCGAACGATAGAAATTAGACGTCAGAAAAGTTGTGATTGGAAAGCGAGACGGACACCGTTCGTTCGAGGATGAAGGCGGTTGTTTCAACTACGTATAATAGTCGCAGCTATTCCGTGTGCGATGATGTTGGTGCGCAGTGTGTAGCTGGAGAGGATGAGTCAGCACATCAGGGTCATGTAATTACAGACCCACGTGGGCAATCCAATATTCCGTTGTCTTCGTCGCAAACTGTGATCGTAAAGAAACGTATGTAGGGCCCATCTACAGGTGCGGGGATGTAAGATCGACGTTGTAGCTGTCACCCTCTCACACCGCGAAACTCGTGCGATCTAATTCGGCTTATCATTCGCTCGAGAAACTAATTAGGACAACGTACGATGGAAAACGACACAGCATGAAACTAGGATGAGTATGTGAAAGGAAGAGAGGTGGGTGTATGGATAATGTACAGTGATATATCGAAGATACAGTATGCCAAATAAACAAAAGTCATCACCCTCACAGCTCAAAATATCGCAAGAAGGAGCGCCTGCAACGGTCAACGTTGAGCGAGAGAAAAGTGGCCCACAAAATCAGGCGCGTTCATCATCCATAGACAACCCTGTAACCAAGAATACCATATTATAAGCATCCGTCGTCGGATGAAAGACCCGCTTGCGCACTCACCCTCTCGCAGTAGTCGATATTGGCTTGAAATCCGACCTTCCCGAATCCACAAAATGTTTCAACACCTCCTTCCAGTCCTCTCTGGAATCCCACGTGATTTTACTTGGTGGGTCAACCTCGACGGGCATGACTTGGCTGATACCACCGCATTGCACGAGGATGACGAGGGTGCCGATGCCACCACTTTTTCGGCATCGGTCCTCGCGCCGATCGATGTCGGCGGCAACGAGGGCATCATGGGAAGTGACGTAGGAACGCGGGACGATGTGTGTTTCTGCTATTGAGAACCTGAGTGGGTGTTGAAATCGGGTTAGCGGTTGGGCGTTGAAATTTGAAACAGGACGGGATCCATCGCACCGCAAGGAACGGAAAGGAACGTACCGAAATAGCGACTCCTTACACGGATGATAACTCAGCTCGATCAACAACGCATGCTGTCTAATGTTCGCTGGGATCCTCTTCAATTGCAGCGCCTGAAAGCCGGCCCACCCGAGTAGTGATGCATGTGTAGAGGTGAATTTGCGAAGGTACTTGGCGAGGTTTTCATCCGGGTAAGATGGGCCAGTAGGTTGTTGTTTGGCACCTGAAAGTTGGGCGGCGGTATGTTGGCAGATGGCTTTGTGAGATGGCCAGTGGGACTTTTGACATTCGGGGGACTGCATGTATGTGTGAGTGAGATGGACGAAGAAGGATATCGGGTGGATAGGAACGTACACAGTACTGGGTGGTTAACTGGACGCCCACGGAAATGAGCACATGTCAGAATAGGACAATGACAATCATGGACCGGTACGTACGCATCCACCGCAGAGACGGAACTTTTGGATGGAGGGGTTCTCCACTGCACCGCAAGTATCGCAGATGCGATATCCGCGTTGCTTCTGAGGGGCATGAGTGGGAGGAGTGTAATAGTTGGCAGCAGCAGGGGCCATGGTGTTATTCCACGAGAACGGTCTGGCGACGAGGGTGAACGAACAATTAGCTGGATTTCCTCCGCCATCGTTTGGGATGCTTTATAGGTAGACGGACTGATGGACGTGACTATCTTGGGCGACATCGTGGAGAACAAAAAGGTGGCATGACTGCTTTTTGTTTTGTGGTACGCCTGGGAGACATGGTCAGCCCGTCTTTTTGTGTTGGTAGCGAGGGCGTCGACGTGGATAGATGACTAGAAACGGCTTCCCGAACGCAACACAAAACAATAAAACCTGGACTGGACGTCAGACAAAAAAACTGGAGTTGGATAAGGAAATGAGACGCTCTTACATATTAGGTACGTCCCTTATTTCGTAGTCTGCCGGCATAATAGCCTAAGCTCTAATTGTTCCCCAAGTCCCCATTACATATCGCGATCGACATCCATCGCATGTGTCATAATTAAGCCCTCTTCGAACATCGTCGGCCTCGACATGTACCGTGGAGGTCACTTGGTTGCGTCCACATCATTGCGCTTTCCCTTGGCCAGCTCTGGCTGTGCATGGCCCATTGCATCCGCATTGTTTTACAAGCAAGCTCCGATATCAATGATTTGTGATCCTGTTCGTCCTGGGACGCGGGTAATCTAGAACATTTCAAATCATAACAATGTGCGTCCGCGAAGCGAATCTAATTTGCAGTTTCGCTATCGGTCATTTATCACTCCGCTCTGGAGCGTCACCGTGGGTGGAGTGCTGGTTCGACTCGGAACCGGAACCCCGAGCGAGGTATGCGGTGGGCGTACGTATGAATTTATCAAGGATGAGTCCCTCGCGGCCCGGTCGCACCTTTGACAAAGTCCAGCTTTCAGCTTATTACTGGATCCGCATTCGTGATCACGATCACCCAGCAGCGATGGCGCAGGTAATCCATATAACTCTAACTGCCGAGACTGACCATCCCATAAGCGCAGGTCCCAGTCACCGCAGTCTAGGGTCCACAGAATCGTTTCATAGAAAGGTTTGGAAGGCGAAGACAGTAGTGTTAGGTGTCAATATCAGCAAGCCGGCATCTACTCCATACCATTCCCCTGAAACGAGCACCACCATCCTCACCAGTGGCTTTCGTTACCAATCCGAACCCATATTCCTGGACGCCGTTATTAGGCCCAGGTCTGTAAACTCCTTGTGAGCACCTGAACATACCGGACCAAGAGCTGGTCACGTGCGGTTTAAGGAGCTTTTGGGGAAAGTCGATGTGGTGGGGTATTGCATTCATCTCGCTACGGAACGTCGTGCAGACTAGTTGGAGCCACATGGTTGGATGTGTGCATATCTAGCATCTCTCTCCAGATCACCACCATTACCCCTGCTACAGCATGGAAACCTTCACCCTGTCCTGCTGGATTCGCGGTGAAGCAGATGTATTCGAGATCGAGATTTCGACGAAAGCGAACGTAGGTCAGCTTAAGAAAGCCGTGAAGCACAACAATTCGGCCACTTTCAAGGATGTAGATGCAGAAAGTTCTCGACCTCTTCCCCCTCCTCGTCCCATCGGGTGCAGATTACATGGATGAACTCGGAAATTGGACGATGGATGGCAAAAATCCTTTGCGCACGTTAGAAGAGTTGTCCAGTGTTTTCCAAACTCGCGATGAGGATGAACAATGGATTGCCATTGTCGACTATCCACGTCATGCCAGTGAGTTGCCTAAAATTTCACATTAGGGGATTCTCAGTGTGTTCTACGCCAAGATGCCATTATCCTCCATTGTCTAGTCTTGGGTCAAGCCATCGAGGGATATGTTTTCGGTCAAGGTCGCTAGAAGCGAGACTGTCAGTGTGCTCAAAAAACTGATCAAAGACGAAACTCCGATGTTTCGTGATGTATACGCCACGTCGCTGCAGCTCTGGCGTGTGGACCTACTCATCGACGACACAGTTGAAGAAACTATTCGAAATCTCGGTCTTAACTACGATGATATCCTTAAACCCGCTACATTGCTATCTGAGATCTTTCCCGAACTTCCTAATTGTAGGGCTCTCCACGTTGTTGTTGCACCTGCCGGTGAGCTGTCCGTCATGATCGCATCATAGCTCAGTGTCCTAATTGCATACCCAGGCGTAAAGCAGGGGCCCCCTTTGCATCCGCAGCACCGCGTGTCGGCACAGCGAGGTGCTTTCCTTGCCCAAGTTCAGCCAAAGGCCCCGTCGTTCATTGCACGACCTTCCGAATTTTATAAGTTCCAAGCGATCGATGGTCAGACTATTTACTGCAACCGCCCTGCCGATGCTGTGGCCATCATTCCTCCGACGTTGCTTCACCGCGCGTTTGGTGACTTCCTTCATGACTGTGACGTGGTTGAACCAACCCACGAAGATAATTCTTTCGTGATGAAGCTGCAGACTGTGATGTCAAACCATTATGATGATGAATGGAAGGCTGTTCAACTCCGTGAGCTGTTTGAAGGGTGGGGCCTGACTTTCATGCCCTCCATGGCATATCACGGCTACATGACGAATTGGGATATGCGCGAGGGAGAGTATCGCTACGCTATCGCCCAAGTCAAAAATGAAGTGGGTAGCACGCAAGCTGATCTCTATAACCAAGCGACTTTCTACTACGTGGAGTTTTCGAGACAGTATGCGGAAAAGATGGCATTGTCACCTTTACCTTGCTTCATCATTCTTCTTTTTGGTCTGTTTGTTCCTTGCTGCTCGCTGTGCACCATGAATAACTGTATTTTCAATCAGGACCGTTAATTATGTTTGCAGGAGCAGTGTGGAACGTTCGCCCAGTTATCCAACCTCTCTCGTTCGTTCTCCCACTTCACTACCATCCAACCGATACCTATATGCAGACCACAGTGGCTCGTCACCTTAAAGCGTTTAAGAATGCTGTTGTCACGCTTGAAGGGTATTATCAAAGTCTCTCATTGAATAATAACCCATCTGACTCGCACCATTCGCAACTGTTCCCATATCCCACCTCCTTCAAGTCTCTTGGGAGTAACGCAATGGAAGAATTTGAATACACATCGCAGTACCCAAACAAGCTTATCTTTTTTGGTACTCTTGCTGGCGAGCGCATTTGTATCAAATTTGTGCGTCATTATTCGATGGAGGTTCACCGGTTCTCCGCATCACGGCGACGGGCGCCAGCGCTCCGTGGCTTCGACACGCTGCATGGGGGGTGGTACATGGTGGTGATGGATTCACTTGGACGGTTACAAGGAACTCTGTGATGTCGACCCACCTCCTTTGGTTTTCGAACGGATCAGAACCCGCCTTGACGAGTTACATCAACAAGGCTATGTTCATGGTGATGTTCGTAGCATGAACATTCATGGTGTTGGGATCTGACATGACAGGAGTTCATGTTCGTTGACTTCGACTGGGCAGGAAAGATTGGAGAAGTGCGGTATCCCCTGAATGTGAACAGAGATAATCTGGCGGCCCTCTGGGGTGGTTGATGGGGCTCTCATCGAAGCTCAGCATGATAGGGACATGCTGAAACTCATAATCATGAGTTTCGACAAGGGGGATAAGTGTCGGGAGGATGATCAGGCACAGAGTGAGAATGTGGACGAGCGAGAAAGCAAGCGTCCGCGGTTGACTGAATCAGGGGTTGAGGAGTAGTGTAACAGTTTCAGTTTGCAATGAAAGATGAAAATGTGATGTTGGCCCTTCATAAAAAATGCATTATTTATACAGCCCCTGGGGGAATTATAATTACAAACTCCTGACCATAATTTGGGGGAAATAATGCTGGGAGTTGATAGATATGTCCATTGGGATGTCCCAGGTGAAATTTGAATGAAATTGGCGGTCGGAAAAAAAATCTACAGGGGGTAGAAGGATGGTCAGACCACAAAATGGTATCTCTTTGGAAATACTTCTGGGAGGCTGGAAATCATTTCCATTGTCTTCAGTGGCATTGATAACACCCAGGACATCCATCCCTGGCAAGCTGGCACCCCCTCCTGATGTTACTAGATCGCCATCCCTGGGGTATGAGGAGGGGATCAGGTATGTTGATGAAACAAATATGGGGACCTTTGTAACACAATTCTGATGGTCTTGTAATGTCATACCCATGGGGTAGACATGATTCAGATAGCTAGATCAATCTCTGAAATTGTTTTGATGGAGTGAACATGGGGAGGGTGGGGTAACATATCTTACATGGATATTCTGACACCTAGGAATGCTGCAACCATTGTCATTGTCCATTGTGACTTTCAGGCCCTCCAGGACAACCATTCCTGACAAGCTTTCATGCTTC